AGTCACTTCCTGCACAACATCCCGATATTGCAATGACCTACGTAAACATGGTCTTGTGTATGAAGACAAGGATGAATTAGAGTAGGTATTGGCATTGTTAAATAAATTTTGCATCCTGTAGTGTCATTCCCAACTTCTTAGTGTCGGAACTGTTCAATTCACAGAAGTATGTAGATATTGAGTGAAAATATAGCTATCATTGACATAAAATAATTCTTTCCGGTGTGAATATAGTTATAGAGGTTGAAACAAGAATTTTATTAGCAATATCTGCATTGCTGTTGTTCCATTTTTTTCTTCATTGATTCATAGGTGCTGATGGTGAATCGCTGAAATTGAATGAATTCTATGAATATAATCTTTTGTTTGTTAATCCTATCAGTACGGAATAGAATTGGTAAAACATGCATGAGGAGTATGTATCTAAACGGAATACATCTCTTGAATGCGTTAACTAATGAAACTTTCTTGTAATAGGCTGTTTTGAATGAAATAAATAAGAATTTACTTTTCCCACCGAAGACGGTTCGTGGAACTGTAGATGGGATATGAGAACTAAAATGAATTAATGTGATAGCGCTGATTCTTAGTGGAGAACAGAAGGGAAAATAGTTAGTTGGAATAGGTTTCTCGACTTTGAAAATGGAAGAAAATATTGGGATTGAGTTTTCATATATGTCATAGTATCTGCCCATGTCGTTCATTTTTTCAACCAGCGCCGCTATAGCGGCAAAACGCAATATAGCGGCGCTATATTGCAAGATGGCTTCGCTATACATCGTTAAATTTTGCCACTTTTTGTGGCGTTATAACGATAACGTGTTTCATGTTATACTCTTAATATTCTGATTGATCAAAACAATCATAATTCGCGAAATCAGGTGATTGTGTTCAGAACATTTCGGCATAATCTTACGCTCATGGATTTCTTACGATAAATCTTTTTTGTGTACTCAAAAAAAAAAGAGTACACTATAGAATCGGTCAGTGTGTCCGGCCGTCCGTCAGTCCGTTTATTCGATAACTCTTCACAATTACATTCGATTGAGCTGAGATTTTGTGCACAGAATTGTCTTATCAATATCTAGGTCGAGTTCGAAGATGAGAAGGATCCGTCAAGAAATGGCTGAGTTGTCGAAAAAATTGTCATTTTTGATCAGACCATCCCTGAGGGGGAGTACAGGGATTTTTCAAAAAAAAAATTTTCTCAGAATTATTCACAACATATATAAATCGACTCAGTTTTTAACGCTGATTCTAAATCTGATATTAGTTTTGAACTAAGTCATAGCTTTCTAACGAAACATCGCCTGAAAAACGTCTCAAAATTCACAAAAACTCCATCCAGAAATCAAATTGTCTAGTTTCTCATGATAATTTTCGTGTTCAGGCATTCTAGAATGACTCATATGTCGCATGCACTTTTTGCAGTACACATAACTCTCGGATGAAATCCGAAGTTTCCACATTTTTTTTATTTCGTTTCAGATTAAATGTATAGATTTTCACGTAAAGTAAATCTACGACGTCGTATTCGACAAATACAACGTCAATCAGTTCGTCATATTATTGTTCCTGATAATGAACTTTCTGGTGATAATTCTAGTGAAAGCAATAGTGAGCAGTTTATACTGATGCATGATCAAGAAGAAGAAATCATATGAAGAAACATTTCGCACAATTATTAATAATAATTTTGTTTCGTTTCCATCATGTATTAATCATTTGGATGAAGATACTGATTGGGCCAGTGAAGATGAATACGAACAAGATAAACGTTCACTTTACTCTGGCTTTCCTCTCAGTGTTACTAAAGCAGTTCATCTTATTACGAACTTTTATTTAGATATTAATTGGGATAAGCAGAAGGTTAATGGCTTACTTCGTTTAATCAAACGCTTACTGCCAAAGCCAAATTTACTACCTTCAACATTAAAACGTGTGAATAAACTCTTGCATCTTGCTCCGTTAACGACCACTACCTTACTTTGTAGCGACTGTTATCAATCATGTAAAAGAGCTGGATTTCGTTCCAAAACTTGTGCCAATCCAAGTTGTTCAACATCTTTTAGACAACGTCGAAGTACAGAAATAATCGAAATTGTTCGCTTTGATGTTAGATCGCAAATACAGTGGATTATGAACAGAAATGTTGCTTTTATAAATAAATCACACTTCTTTCCATCGAACGATATTTGTTTTGGTGAACAGTATCAAAATATGTCAGATCGTAGCAACAATACAATCACATTAATTGTTCATTCAGATGGTGCACCTATCGTTCGTTCATCAAAACAATCAATATGGCCTTGTTTTGCTTCAATCACAGAGATTTCTCCACCTCTAAGAGAATTTCAATCCAATATAATTATTTTGGCACTCTGGTTATCCAAGAAGAAACCAGATGTTAATATTTTTCTGACAGAAACTGTTAATGATCTTTCTTTACTGATTCATGATGAAACATCGCTATTTATTGGAGCTAAAGAATACAAAATTCAACTTCGTACACAATTCTTTATTTCTGACTTGCCGACCAAAACCTTATTTTGTTGTACAACTTACTTTAATGGATACTCGGCTTGCACCTTTTGCTGCAGTAGGGGTAATTTGTTTTTTCCTATTTAGAAAATGTTGGTTTTTATCTTATGGATAATTTATAAAAATCTCTTTTTCTGATTTAAAAAATCTGTTAATTTATTGGCTTTAAAAATTATTTTTTCTTTAGTTAAAAAAAAGATACCTTTGAATACTATTTTTCTATCAATATCAACATTACTATTTTATCTTATTTTTAATGAAGTTGTTTTTTTTTCTAGGTATATGGAGTCCGGATTATAAAAAAGTCCTTTATCCATATGAAAACAATGATCTTACAGCACGTACACATGATAGTTATCTTAAAGCAGCAAGAGAAGCTATACGAAAATCAAATGGTGGTAAAGAAGTAGCAGTGGAAGGAATTAAAGGTTTATCTTCTTTACTGCGAATATTCAACTGTCCTACGCAAATAATTTACGATTTTATGCACCTAGTTTGTCTAGGGCATATTCCATATTTGATTAATCGATGGTGTTCATTAATTGACAAAAAGACGATATTGGCAATTGATAAGAAACTTCAACAATTACGTATTCCTCACAATATGAAAGTTGTTTTTCTTGAATCGATTACTATGGCATCTCAATGGAAGGCAAAAAATTCTCGACTATTTGTATTACATGTTGGCGTGCCCATAATGCTCAATCATTTACCCAATATATTATTTTCTCACTTCGTTATTTATTCATTAGCAATAAAGCTCTTATATTCGCCTGAAACGAAACAAGAAGTATTATTCGCCGAGCGTCTGATCGAATATTATTGTCAAACGGCACCTCTAGTTCATGATCCTTCAATAGAAATTTTTTCTTTACATGCACATCTTCATCTGTCGTATCAAGTTCGTCTGCATGGTGGCTTAGCTCACATGTCAGCATTTGCATTTGAATCATTAATTCGATATATTAAAAATAAGGCTCATGGTAGCTGCAATCTCGCTTCTCGAATAGCGTATTGGGTCAGCATGCAGCATGCAGTGAAATCGAACAAAGTCAATTTACGAGAAGATTGCCTCATGAATGTAAAAATATATTTAAGATAAAAATCTATTAAAATTCTTACGATTTTATCTGTGCAGTATGATTCATTCTACTTTGTTTAATAATTCGAATAAGCTAGAGAGAAAAATAAACAATTCATAATTTCTTTGTTCTTGTGACCCATATAGTTATACAAGAAGTGTGATTTTTTCTCTATTCTCTATTCTCACACAAAAAGCAGACGGCGAAATAAGCGAGTAGAATAATCGCGTTAAAATAACTACTGTAGACACCTATCATATTCTCTATAAAGAACAAACAATCATTGTCTATCTTTCTTTTCTTTGACATAGAAATTCAACTCGTCCGATCTTATATTCGTTCAATACCTTCCAACATTTCGTGATTCATTACGTCGTACAAATATTGATTATACTAAAATATCGACTTTATACAAACGTTACCAATACTCATTCGTTATTTTTCATTCTTTGATATACGATGATGCATTTAATTGTAACAGTCATATTATTTCTTTCATTAATAATGTTAATAATAATATGATATGTTATGGTAGTATAATAGTATTTTTCTCAAGTAATGATATAATGTATGCTTTTATACAACGATATGTTGATTGTAACAAACAAACGTCACATTACGTAGATCTACCAAAACAATTACATGATCGAATAAACATTTTTTATCGTATTGTTTCACTTTCTAACAACTTTATCATCATTCCAGTTGGTTTTATTCGTCATAAATGCATTATAGTTCCAATATCCGATGCATTTTGTATATCAGAAATAAAGATTGATTATGAACATGATTGAATTGAATTTAACGGTTTTTATTTTTAGATAATTTTCATTGATACAATATTTTCATTTTCAATTTTCAATTTATCACTTTCGATTTCATTCGATTATGACTCAAAATAATGTTTACAATAGATCTTATTTGACAAAACGAAAAACAACTGAACAAAATGAGCCCTATCATGTAGTCATTTTTCCATGTGATAATTCATTTTCAGTGGTTAAATCTAAACAATGTTCTCCATCCGAAAAAGATGGCTTTGTATTGGCACAATCTGATGGAAAAAAATTTATAGGTTTTATATTTGAAACAGGTAATATAACAATTCTTAATAAAATTCAAATGAACAACTGTTTTCTTTATTATAGGTAGTTTTCAAGTATGTAGCAAATCAGCTGATCGTTTATCACAAAAGCAACATGAAGATATAGAGAGTGATTATGAACGCAGTAAAGAAAACGTCGCACCAAAAGATATTATTTCAAATACTACTGGTGAATTTATTTAATTATTTTTTTACTACATAAATGCCTTTTATTTTAGGAAAAAAACTTTGAATTCATTAAAGGATGTCCCATTTGCGATCGATTCTATTACAAATAATCATGAAGAGCGCTCACCACGGCGCACCATTTCTAATACGACAGGTAAGTGATCTAAAAGATACTTTTTTTATCGTCAAACTAAGACGAAAAAAAGCAATCGAATTTCTTCTAAACATTTCATGTTTGATTTTTTTATTTAATATTGAATTTATAGATATGAATCATGTTACAACACCTATTCGTCGAAAGCCAGGAAGTGAAAAAAGTAAAAACATTTTTCGGTTACTGAAACAATCGAATCAAATATTCATTCTTTACATTATAGAGTGGCAACAAAATCGTAACCCAAACTGTCTGCCAAATAATGATCCCACAATAGCAACAAGTAGATATATTGTGTTACTGATACTATTTTTTTTCCCGATTTTTAGCAACAATGTCCACGTCTATTACAACATGTACTGATCCAACAACTGTATCATTGTCTGCATCAAACAATTTGAATGTATGTCGACGTTCCATGATAGACTCATCACCATCTCCAGTTAAGAAAAAGAAAAAATCCAATAACAAGAAAAAATATTCTTCATTTTCATTGGATTCATCAGATGATGAAGATATAATTCGTTCTAATGAACAGATTAAAACTCCACAATTTCGTGGACGCAATGTTATTCATGCTGAACGTGATACAACAACAACAACACCACCACATCCAGAAAAATTAAATGATCAAAATAATATTCTAGAGTTAATTGAAAAAAATATTCGATTCCTCTGCTCCTTAGTCAGCAAAAGTTAGAAAAAATGATTACGTCTACGTATAAAAATCAAATCAAAATTCAAAAGGCGTTAAGCAAAAAGCAGGTATGTTTAAAAGGTTTTTCAATAGTGAAAGTTATTATTAAAAAACAATCAATTCATAAAATGACAGTTAATTGAAATAACGATTGATATTGTTGGAAGATAATTTTGAATATATTTCCAATATGATTTGATTTTTGAAAAACGGGATAATTAACTAATTGATATTCTTTTACTTAGTTTTTTTTAGTTCAATTCTATTCTCAAAGATTGTTTAAAATACCCTTCCATTTTTCTTTATCGTTTTTTACATAAACTTAATTTAAATCTCATTACAAATATTATATTTTACATTAGGTATTCGTTTCAATGGAAGAGCCTACCGATATCGACAACGACGAAAGGAGTTTCTCTTCGTCAGTGGTAAATAAGATCTTTAATTATTCTGATACTTCTACTTTTGTTGTTTAGATTTATAAAGCAGCTGACAATGAACTTGGTATTGATTTGTTGAAAATTCCAGCTACCAAAGAAAAAGCAAATTTATACGTTACAACATTGATACAACTGATATATTCAATAGAGGAATTGGCTGAATTGCAGCCGACTCAAACATATGATGATGAAAGATACAAACTGATCAAGGGTAATAATACCTTTCTTTGACATGTTCTAACTATGCCCTTTTATTTTTAGACGCTGTACGTGTTAAATTTAAACTTACTGAAGAACAATTAGAACAAATGTTCAATGAGTGGCTTCGAGAAGTCTTTTTAGCAAAACGGAGGGTGGCAGTGGCGAAACTCAAACCAATAAAAGATAGTGATTGAAACGATTATTCAAATCAACTTTTTGACAATTGCTTTTTTTTCTTGTTAATATTTATTTATTGTAATTTATTTATTATATTTAAATAAAAATTTAAAATAAAACGAATATTTTTCCTTAAAATAATTCTTCAAAATTGAACCAATAAGGTGTACTGCAGTGAGACTGATTGCATGTAAACATTTACCGTCAACATGGTGCTATAGTGCATCATAGCGACTCATAGTGATGTTATATCGCGCTATAACGGCCATAACGATCGCTAAAAGGGGTCACAATGCGATCGCTAAAGTGGCGTTATAGTGGTGCTATTTAACCGTTATCGATGACATGGGTGAAATACTTAGAATATTCAGGGCATTCGATCAAACTCACAGTTCGAGTGGTTTTGAAGATTGATGAAACCATTGATGATGAATTCAGGATTCTTTTAAAATAGTAATCTGTAAGAGGACTTTCTACAAATAAAGTGTTCCCATCAATAATTGAGAATTTTGATAGAGAGATGTAACAAGTGATCGTGAGACATAAATGCACCTTGGACGTCATTGTACAGTATAAATACTTTTTATAGTGCTGTTCGTATATCAATATGATTGATGTCTGTGCAAATCCTAACAAAAGTTCACTTGTACCTTGATTCTGCTTAAAATCTGTTTGCAGTGCCAAATGTATCATATAAGTTACTGAATTTATGGATCACTGAAAATTTAATTGCAATTCTGAAAGAATTTCTTTAAATTCATATTTTCAAAGAAAACACATAACTAACTGAAAAATTGCAACAATATTGTCGATCAAGTTTTGTTATACAGAATAAATACTTTTGTCAAATCATTTTTACAACAATTGATAATAGACGATAATAGATCATCTTAGTCAATGACTTCCGTCAGATGCAGACAATGGTAATGATTTAGTTCCTAGTCAATATCCTTCAGATACGCTATTTTCAAAAGTAGCACTTCAATGAAACGTTGCCTATATGAATTATTCCAAGCGGTCTATTGACATAAAATTCTAACTACCGTCCAAAAATCAGTTCAAAACCTCGACATGTCTGGAAAAGATGAAAGCAGGCTTTTATGGACATATTACTATTCCACATAGAATGATGGCAAATTGATAGACTAGTTTCATCGACACTTGTGGGAGATGTCATTGCATATTTTCTTCATATGTGCAACATATATGGTATATGACAAACTGAAAAATTTCCACTCATCAAGAGAGGAGAATAAGTCATATACACATTTTGTAGCACAATATAAATGACATGTCTAACTCGACTCAAACAACGAATATTTGCAAATGCAAATTTTTTTCAACAATAATAATAATTGACAATAGCTGGGTTTTTCAACAACAGCAATAATTTAGAAAAATAATAAAGTTCATAAAAATGATCCAAGATAAAACAAAGACTTCAAGGTAGATTCGTCGGTTAAATCGATCGACAAGCTTGAAGAAAAGTTGCTTGATCCATAATAATATAAATAGATGGAAAGATTAAGAAGAATACGAACAATTCTGTCGTATATTGTCTTATTGATGACTTATCTATATATTCGTGATCGATCAGTTCATTGTTGTCTGACTAATTGGTGAATAGAACGCGATGTATCCCATGTTTAAAATATCGGACCATTTTTCTCGGTAAACCGCGGTATTTATCCTTCCTGCGGTAATCACACTAATATGGGAGTCGCTAAGCGGACTGGTAAAGTCGCGGTTAACCGCCGATTTTCATGCGGTTTTTCTATGACATGGGATTGAATACAATGAAAGCCATTCTATGTCATTCATTATTTTCTATTGGATGTCGTCAGTTCAACACTGTTTATTCGTGGTATTTTTTGCTCGATTAATTCAATTCAATGAGTGAAATTTGTATCATTTTAATGCAACAACTGATAATAACGGTCAATGTCGAGAAACAGTAGAAAAAACAACGAAAACTTTTTAAAAAACCGGGTATCTGAAATCAAACTCGACTCGACTCGGTTTCGGTCTATCATGTGAATACGTGTCTTCTTCCAAAGGGGTGTGTTTAAACACGATTGACCATAAGAATCGTGATATTCATGGAAAGCTAAACCAAATTTTCAAGCCCAATTAAGACATGCGTCAGATGTCATTGATGGTAAGTGATATTAGAATATTTTGTCCTGGTTAAAATTCTAACATAGATTTAAGCCAATTTCCTCAGATGGTTACTCGCAATAGTCGAAATTCTTTGTAAAAATATCAATACCTACTCTAATTCAACTTTGAATTCATGCACAAGACCCATGTTCTCGTAGGTCATTGGAATATCGGGATGTTGAACAGGAAGTGACTTCAATCTGATTTTAAGTGATCGATTGTAATGATCCAATGCGAGATCATAATGACCGAGACCCCGATGAACAATGCCAATATTGTTGTACGATGAACCCAAATCAGGATGATCCGGTGGTAGATGCTTCCCGTGAATAGCAAGTGACTTATCATAGAAGTCGAGCGCTTCAAAATACTTATTCTCTTCTTGATAGATGGTGCCAATGTTGTTGTAAAACATGGCCATATCTGGATGATTCTCATCGTGTGCTTGTTTGAAGAGTGACACGGCTCGATTGTACGATTCGAGTGCTCGACCACGATCACCTTTCTTTCGATGAGTCTCACCGATGCTGTTGTGTGTGTTACCAATATTGACATGATCGGATGGACGAGTTTGCATCTTCATCTCGAGTGATTTCTGGTACCATTCGAGACTCGTATCATACTCACCTTTCTCATCAGCAACCGTACCAAGACGTTGATACAACGCACAAAGGGAGGGATCATTCGATGGAAGTTCGCTCAACCATCGACAATAGTACTTTTTGGCCAAATCGAATTTTCCCATATCGAGCATCACATCACCAAGAGAGAGAAGATTCGTTTCCTCTCTGTCGTATTCGTTCTTCATGTGATCATACAGTTGTTTGAGATCGTTGTCATGATCACTACATAATGTCATTCGAATGATCGGCATTGTTGCATAAGCTGATAATGATGATTGATCATGAGAAATCTCACTCAACCGAGAAATTGAGCCTAGCATGAAGAGTAGTTGGAACTTGTTAAGAACATCGGATATCTTTACATATAGGCAGTTGCTTTCTACAGTATTTTACTAATCAAGATTTATGCATTTATTTTTATTTGAAACTGAATGATATTTTTGGTTAAATGCATTGGAGAATTTCGTTTTTCAACAAGACTTCCTAAATAAATTCTATGCATTGAATGACTGATGCTAAGAAAAAAATAACCGACGCAGATTGTTCGGAAAACTTGTGCCTTAATATTTGTTTAATGGGTGATCGAAAAGTTTTTGCACATGATTGAAATTCATATTTCTCGTGTTCTACACGTAATTTGTTTCTGTTTCGCCATGATTGAATGAGTAAATACTGAGTTTTGTCAAAAATATATTATTCATGTTCCCAGGAGATTCAATCCGACCAGTGGATCCGATCGTTTCCGGCATCGGATCCTATGGATTCCGTTGCTTTTCGGTCGGCTCCGTTGAATTCCGACGATTTCCTAACTAACGGTTCCCGGTCCGGTTTCCGCCGGAAAAATTCCGTTAAGTTCCGCAAAATTTCGACCCGGAATTCGTCGGAAATCGACGGAACCGATAGGAATCGATCGGAAATGGTCCGACGAAATCTGGGCCAGAATACGTTAGTTAGGAAATCGTCGGAATTCAACGGAACCGATTCCGACGTACCCTGATTCTCCTGGGTTTCAAAATGTGGACAATGAAAGACAAAGCAACGGCAAAAAATATTGGCCAACCAAGAAAATTTCAGCTTATATGTAGTTTTATGTGCTCTATAAACTGGACAAAGAAAATCAGTACTTTATGCGAAGAGTCCAGTCTCCCTTTAACATTCATCTTGTCCAAACGAAAAAAAAGAACCTTCGAATAACTTTAGGAGAACATTGAGATAAAAGAACCATTTTCGATAATTTTATTAAGCAACTTTAGACGTCCATAGTGTGTATATTTTGTGTAAAAAAAAGCAAAAACAAAGCATGAGTAGAACAAGAGAAATATGAATTTCAATCTTGTGCAAAAACTTTTCGATCACCCGTTACCGTTTGATTACTGGAGAAATCATACTATAGTATTGGGCTTTTTGACGTTTTATAAGGATCTGAAAGTTCAATTAGGATAGATCACATTTCTGATAGAGAATTTTGCAAAACAAAGACTATAGCAGCTGCTTTTTCGAAAATTTGCCAATGTACATCAGATATTTTCGAAAGTTTTAGGAAGCAATGTTAAAAATAAAATGAACTTTAATTAAATGGAAAAAAAGTGAAAAGTTTTTGCACATATTGGTGATGCAATTGATTTTAAGTGATATGTTATATTCGTAAAAATTGAAAATTAGTGGAGTCTGGCATGTTTTATTTGTGTGCCACATAGACTGAGATAGTTGACAGAACTGAACTAGCATAGACATTCTTGTATTCGAATAAAATTACCACCAAATTTTTCTTTAGCCCTTGAAGGATGAACTAATTAAATAGAGCAGAATTCTGCACGATATCATCATCTCATCACAGTGGGTATACACATTTCCATACAAAACAGTCGCAGACTATTAAAGTAAAGTATGAGTCATCCACTTAAAGAGCAAGATCTTAAATAAGAATGATTCAGATACGATGTAATATAACTGTGGCGTGGAAGTGATAGAATTATAGTGGTTATATCGCAAAATATAATCTCTCTATCAACCACACCAATTTTCTCAAAGTTTTTATTGTCATAACTTATTTTGATAGAGAAATCAATACGATATCTAGAATAACCACAAATGGCACTATTTAAAAAGTTTAACTGGTCATTGTGCAGATAAGAATCGAGCGACTCTAAATAAAGCTAATTATTTCCTTCTAAGCCTTAGCATAAGAGCTATCGAGATTTCAAAGAGAGTTATTGATTATTCAAGTCGCTAATATACTTGTCACTCGATTTTTTTATGCTGATTACGAATTGAAATGGGAAAATTCTAGAAAATCTTCGATTTGCACAGAATCTTTAAAAAAATTCTGAAACTGAAAGAATGAAAGAAAGTCAAGCAAATCCCACAACACTATGTTCTCATCAAGATGAGTCACTAGCTTTATCTTAACAACAGTATCCTAAATTGAGCAAAAAAAAACTAAATACGCATAGATAAATGTCGTCTTTATTAAACTCAAAATAGAATTTTCTCTACAGGCTTCCGTTTACATTCGCACCAAGGTTGGCGATATCTAATAAAACGTGTTCTGAAAAATACCGGCTCAGCAAAATTCTGCGTATGTTGAATCAGTAACATCTCAGATAAATTTTCCAGAGATTTTATTTTAGCAAAAACAAACATTTCTAAATTCATCAATGCTATGCAGCATACTCCTCCATTCAAAAGTATATACAAAACGGTCAAGACTAATTTTACAGAAAAATATCAGAACCATTCTCTTCCATTGTTCAGATCATTGATTATCGATTTGTAGTCAACCATTTAAATAAAGATCGTCTTGGAAACAGTAACATTAAAATTAAATTAATAAAGAAAAGGATTCCATAAGCGGCATAAATATATAATGATATATATCGTCTTGGTGTTGGAAGAATAGCTAGATGAGCCGTTTTAGTAGCTAAATAAAATTTCGATAGCACGATTAAGTTTTTCTCATAATTAATTTCGATATATCTTACCACTATCAAGTAAAAGAACAACATATCCAATCCTCGCCACACCCATTCGATATGAACATGTTGGTGTAGTTATTTCATAGATAAAACGTTTTTCATTCAGATCGATAGAAAGAATTGATTGTGATAAGTATTCTCTTGCCATAACACGATTGGTCATATTAATTCGATCGTATGCAAATATATGAAACTAGAAAGAGAAGCATACTTATATACTGTGATTGAGGGAGTCTTAAATCAATGTACATACATGATGACTATCACCTTTGAGAATAAGATTTGGTTCTAGTTCATTGATAAATGGTTTAACAAAACGAGCAGAACGTGTTAATAAAGGCCAATGATTCAGTACGATGCGAAATATAGATGTTAATGGACGATTTTGCGTTTGTTCCATTATTGAAACACGTTTACCATCAACATAAGATTCAAACATATCGATATCTAACTAAAATTAAAAGCAAACAGTACAAAATTAGCAGGATAGTAATGCATGGTATTTTTCGTTAAAAATTACTTTAAGATATTCAATTTCATTTTGTCGATATAAAGCAATCGTTCGACCAAAATAATTTCGAAAACGTTGCCTTAATATGGGGTGTTTATCTCCATAATATTCTCCACCAACATCATTGTCACCAGGGATAACAATACATTTTTGTTCACGATTTTCATATTGAAATATTGAATCAAATCGCTCAAAATATCGTTTAAATTCATCATCGGTTGCTGATAAACCTTCATCAAAGATATCGCCCAAAAAAAGAATCCAATCCGGTTGGACATATTGATTTGCTTGAGAAAACGTTTTAGCAAGATATCTATACAAAATGTCATTCACTGATTACTGAGAACGATTGTTGATGACTTGAAGTCATAGTTGATTATAAAATACAAGTGTTCATACCTATCGGAATCCTGTCTTGTAATTAGTCCAAAAAATCCTTCATCTTTTTCACCAATTAATTGTGGATCAGCAACAAGAAGAAGTTTTACAACAGTAGGCCTAAAAAAGATATATCATACACTAAGTAATCTTGCATTTATTTTTTATAGCTCTTGTTAATATTCTGAATCATTTTTTCGCGATATGAATTTCTTCTTACTTTTTGGCTAATTCTTCAATATCGGGCCAATGAACTCGACTCCATTCATAGAGCAAAACTTCATTAATAAAAATTACTAAAATAGCAGTTATCATCAAAAATCCATATTGTGTCCAGATCCACCGTTTAAATCTTGTTCGAAAACATAAACTATTTGGTAAAAATCTCGATGATGTTTTTAATCTATTCATGTCAGTTTTTGATTCTGTATTCGTAGATAATTGATGACGCCGGACTAGCATAATGCTTTTTTCCTATCATTGTTTCATGAAGTGAAAAATCTAGAACAAGATTATGTCATCGAGTTTATCCCTAGTTACAAACAATAGAGAAAAATAAAATAAAAGAAAAACTCTTCATTAATCACTGATATTTTTTTCATGCAATTTTTTCAAACGTTCAATTGCATCGTACAAATCTTTTGAAAATGTCGCCGTTGTTTCCTGTATTCGCAATGATATACCATACATTTCCTTGTATTCTTCATATATGGATTTTTTATTATTTATTGTTTTGTATATTTTAACGATTTCTTTAAGAAATGTTTGTATACGTCCATTTAATATCGATAAAAGGCGTTGTGATTCTTGTACGAATGTTTCGTTATAATCATCGGGATCGGAACTTGTTCTGTGCTGTTCAATTATACCAACACATTCTTGACATTGGAATGCGGCACGTAAGCCTTGTTGAGAATGCTTTAAACGCGATTGACTATCCGTTGCACCTATAGGTAAAAACAGTGTGTCATTTATTTATAAAAATGGAAGATGAATCAAGGTAACTTGAGAATATTTGAAACGAGACTATTGAAGCCAATCTAGTCGTACGAACCGAAACTTTGGGAATCACTCAAGTTACCATGATTTATTATCTATTATAGTTACTTTGAAGTTCAAAATCTGCTAATGCAACTTCTTCAATTAAGAGCCGTAAATATTCAAGTGGATTATCACGAGGTGAAAATAATTCTAGAGCTTTTTGATAATGTAATGATGCCAGTGCGCGTAAACGTTTTCGACGAGCTGCATTATTCTAAAACAAATTAGGTCAGACCAATTTTTCGAAGTGAATGTTTTCATATAAAAACCAACTCTCTTCGTTTTTTAACTTACTTGAGTACGAAACGTATGATGCAATAAAGAAGCTAATCGATGATGAATTGTAGCAGCTCGGTATTTAGCTAATGCAAAACGATCTGATGATGGCGTATTAAGTTCTACTTCAATATATTTTAATGCTCGTGTCATACAATCAATAATTTCTTTTTCGATCTAAACAAATTCCAGAGGAAAAAAGCTTAAGATTTGAAATTTATCTTCGTTTTACATCGTCCTGTGACATTGTCATTAATGGTGCAAAGTCTTGAAGTGCTGTCGCCATTGTGAAATAAGCATTTGACAATTCCCACGATAGAGTACGATAAACTTCGTGTAGATCAGCACGACTTTCGACTAGCTTTAAACCTTTCAAATAATAATCAAACGCTTTTTGATAACTTTGCCGTTCTTGTTGAGAGAATTCTTGTCGGACACCGTTTACTACCGGAGCATAGAATTGTGCATAGTACCGCATTAAACGTCCAAGATTTGAATATGTCAATGCTATATTTGATACGTCATTTATTTTTTCAAATGCTTGAATGCCAGCATCAAAACTTTCGAAACATTTTCGAAATTGATCTTTCGTTTCCTAAATGCAATATCATTAATTAGCCTGCTGAAATTTTTAGTGTTTTTGAAAACACTGATACTGCCTTAAATTTCGGACATCTTTTCGCTGTACCTTAGCTGCTTCTTGATCTAAATTTTTGACCGCTTGCGCACATTTATTCATCCAATAGACACCCATTTCATTTCGCACGTTTCCAAAACGTTTTGTTAATAAATTTAAACGTTTTTTTTCATGATCGCCAAGATTGCGAACTATGTTTATTGCATATTCATAAGCGTGTACACTAGCAAATAGATTGCGATCAATAACCGGTGTTAATTCCGAAACCCACGAAAATTCTGAATACAAAAAGAAACCATATAAAACTCAATCTCGATAAAAGTTGTTACCCGAAGAATTGGCGTTGACTCCAACTTCATCAGTAACTTTTTGGATTTCAACATCAACTTCACTCATTTCATTATACTGTTCACGATATTTTTCGACTTCTTCTGCTGTTATATGTGCAATCATTAATCGACAATCACCAGCAATACTCATTATATAGGATAATAATTTTTTACATTCGCTACTACTATTATTATGATCCATTGATTGAAGTTTTAATTCGGCACCTATAATAAAAATTCGAATTTTTGAAAAGAATCAATGATTTCATTTCGAAAATCTCTTACTATAACAGTTAAGTCCCAAGCGAAGATAACGAAGACAAGAACCATAATGTTTTTCTTTTTCACTTCGATCAACGAGACAAAAATAAGCAGCAGCAGCTTTATGTAAAATAATTGCTTTCAAACGATTATCATTGGTTAAATGATTTTTATTGTCAATTAAAACTTTCGATGAATGTCGCGTAGCTTGATAAGGTAATGGAACAATAACTTTTGATTTTTCATCAGTATTCGTTGATGACGTTTCTTGTTCATTGGTTTGCTCAGAAGTAGCTTGAACTCGACGATGGATTGCATTACTTCGAAGAGCCTATTCGAAATATGACCGAAAGTACCGAATCTGTCATAGTCAAGTCCATCTAATAGCTTACCTCAACTAAATATTTAAGTGCTTCGGTAGCTCGTTTATCTAGATTTCCATGAATTGGTGCGAGACGTTCGACGTCAGGAGTTTTTCGAAATCGATTTTGTTGAGGTTGTGCAAGCTGTTTAATATTCACACAAGTATACAAATGTGAATCATTTTCTTCTACAAACGATAACTATAAAAAAAAACAAATAGTAAAATAACAAAATCCTAATTCTTTCTTACATCATCGTCTAGTGAGTCCGGATCTGGAATATCGCTTCCATCTGATGTCCAACTTTGTTCACTAACATTATCATCGATATAAAGATCAGACATCATATATGCAGCAGCACAATGATATTCAGGAAATTTCTCTGGATTCAACATATCTAAACAATGTTTCAATAATGTGCGGATTGTGCCGGATTCTTTTGAACGTGTTTCATGATCAGATTTTGATAACATATTAAGAGCCATTTTATAAAGTAAAGTAGCCACCGGTAATGTATAAGGATTATCATCGCGACTTGTGTCACACAGACTTGTTAAATCATATAATTTAACAATATCATCATCGGGACCTATGCAATTCATTACATTTTATTATTGTTAATAAAGAAGTTCGTTTTACCTTTAAATAACCAATATGTATGTCCTTCTTTAGTTGCATTTGCTTTGAGAAATGAAAGAAGATTTGTTGCTAAATTACGTATCACATTCGCTGGAAATTCACAACCTTCACGATAGGGCAATTCTTCGGTTTTAACTATTTCATAGGATTGAACAATGCCATCAACATGATAACACATAGCGAGTTCAGGAACATTACACATTAAATTATCAAGCCAACAATCAATACCAGTTAAGACATTTATAGGTTTATTCATATCTCTATTGAAAACAACGGTATAACATATTCTTGGAAAATCCTAACAATACCTTAAACGTAAACTAACAGCCGGATGCTGTTCATCGCCGAAAATCGGTAAATCGGAACCAATTAACATTTTCATATTTTCAAATGTCCAATTAACTGTTCGTTGAAATGGTGATGGCGATGATTTACTATGAGCATCATGATTTTCGAAATCATTATTTGCATTAACAAGATTTTTGATTTGTTGAAGAAGTGTTGCAGCAGTGGCTTCATTTGTTGATGATGTTTGACATTCATTGTTATCGGAATTCTCGGGTATGATTTGAGGTAATTCAACACTAATTAGATAATAGTCAATATGTAAAAATAAATAAACATGAGTTAATACCTTTGACATAAAAATTTAACTAAACGATCTTTTTTTATAAGTTCATCACGTGTTTTATTTTTTTTATAAAAATGTTTCACTGATATATTTCGTGAAATAGAATCAAGAAAAAAATCTCGAAACCATGTCCATTCATTCTAAATAAAAATAACGTTCAAAAAAAAAAGAAATAACAACGCACTATATCAATTGTTACTTTTTCAAGACGTAACAAATGTGAATGAACATCGAATTCATCAATGAGTATAGTTCGACCCAAACGATGTACCATCATTGATATTTGGCTGTGTTTATTGAATGATACTTTTAGTAATTTTTTTATATGCTATTCGACAACACAGCAATTTCTATTTTTTCACTCGATGAATATTAATATACGAACCTCAGCATCGGTGATAAGATCAACATCACCCAAACTATCTGTATTTGTATTTGCCCAACGAAAACTAAAGGGTTTAATGAATATCCTCTTGTAAATCAAAAACTTGTTGTTTACCTTCCGAAGATATCATCGTGTTTTGCACTCTGTTGAAGCCAATATGAAAGTAATGTTGCTATATTACTGTTCCATATTGGTATTTCATTCAAATCTATGAAAGAGAACAGTATTGATAGAGAAAACATGAAATGAAATTCTCTTATCACCTGTATCTTTGTCCAAAAAAGTACATTTAAAAAAAGGAAATGTTGATGGTGAATTCATTGAGACTAGACTTGATGATGATTCCGTCATGGTAATTTCAATTTTATCGAAAAATATCTATGTTGAGAAAAAACAAAAGCTCATATTATTTTCTATTTTCTACCGATTGACGGTAGTTCATAAGCCAATGGAGTTAGTTTTCTCTGTATAATTTATTGGTTTGCAATTGTACCAATCGAAATGGATTCAATCGAATTGTCATCTGAAACAGTCGCGTATATCAACACTTTCTTAAGATAACATGGACGATTATCGTCATCGTAAAGAATTATTTGTCAGTAATTTAAATGGCACAACACTGCCTGAGACAGGTTCTATCTTACTGAATGGTTGTGCGACGTATTTCCTATGTCAACTGGTAAAAGTTAACATTGCAAAGTCTTCATTCCTTAATTTTCTTCTTGAAAATTCTATTATCGTAATTCCACCGTTGTTCGTCTGCACTTTATTATCATCATTCAATTATTTATTTCTCATCGTTCTTTGGTCTCTTTGTTTTCTTATTTATTTTACGCAAAAAGCTTCGGCAATCAAACTCATTCAAACTAACAATAAATCATATTCTAGTACAATTGAATTATTTCGTGGTCAGATATTAATTGCAACATGCTTATGTATCCTTGCAGTTGACTTTCCTATATTTCCTCGTCGATATGCTAAAACAGAAAATTACGGTTATTCACTAATGGATAAAGGCGTTGGCTTATTTGCATTAGCACATGGCATCGTTAGCGCCGAAGCTCGAAATAAACAGACAAGTTTAAAAGACTTGTTTCTCGAAAATTTTATTCTATTTCTATTAGGATTGATCAGATTAATATCGATAAAATATTTTTCCTACGTTGAACATGTCAGTGAATATGGTATTCATTGGAATTTCTTTTTAACATTATGTTTTATGAAATTAATTGGATATTATTTATTCAAATTAATTAAAAATATTCATTTATTAATTATTTTAATCCTAAGTTTTCATGAATTTATTTTATTGAAATATTTTCATTATGATGATTATTTAATATCGTCAAATAATTTAAGAACGAATTTTATCGATGCTAATCGCGAAGGAATATTTTCATTAGGTGGATACGTTTGTTTATATTTAATTGGAATTTCATGTGGAAGATTTATAATTAAATATGAATACGAGCAAAAATTTAAACAAATGGCAATAAGATTTTTTATTCTAATGATTATTTTATGTGCAATCAGTTATAATCCTTCGAGAAAATTATGTAATTTATCATATATTTCAAGTACGACTGGATTAGCTTGTATGTGTTTTGCTTGCTACAGTGTGATTCAATGGTTATTGTTACGAAAAAGTTATTCAATTGAATCGATGTTAATTAAAAATTTCAATCTTAAAGGTTTAGATATATTTTTATTAGCTAATGTATTAACAGGAATAGTGAATTTAAATATTAATACAATTGATTCATCAGATTTTACATCATTCATGATCATTTTACTTTATATGTTTACTGTTAGTTCATTTACATATTTTTGTCCATCGATCATTAAATTAATTTTGAAATATTTAAAATTATCGAAAAAATAACATGTAATATGTCTTTACATGACAATTTCCACGAACTTTTTTCCTTTTTTTTAAATTTTAAATAAAGAAGTAATTTCAATCGAATAGTATTCAATTGCTGGTATTAGTTACGGCAGGAAAGTTTTGACGAAATAGATAGATGGCGTTAGACTGCTTGATTTTCAATAAGTATGAAATATATGTAAATGTTGATTAAAAAAAAAAGAAAGAGTAATACAGTAATAAAACGAAAAAGCTGTCGTCTAAAATTCTACGCCACTACGCATTGAATGACAAACAAAAGAAGCAAAAAAAAATGACTTTGTGTGACTAACTGCAAACCGACTGATTCATATAGATAAAAGTTCGTGTATAAAATAAATGCTTGTTATTGTTTTTAAAATTCTTTGCCACCTAAATAAAATGAAAATAAAATAGGCTAACTCTATTGTTTTCTTTTTCACTTACGTTCGACTCTAACATTACATGATCGTTCAACTTTGCCTAATGAATTACTGGCAACGCATGTATATGAACCTTGATCATTGAATTCTAAAGATTGAATTTGAAGCCATGATGTTATAACATGTGCATTGGGTCCACCACGAACTAATGTCGATATACGATCATCATCAGCTATAAAAAAAAAAGTATACTTATGTACATCAAATATTTGATTATCAATCATATTCACTTGGATAGACAATTTGCTTTCCTGTTTGCGATCGATAGACCCATTCAACAACAGGTAATGGGACACCAGCAACTTCACATGTCAAAAAAACATTACTTCCTGTTTTATTTGTAACGCTTACAGGTGGTACAGTTATTTCCGGTGCTAAAAAATGATACAACGAGATTCTTCTATTGGCGAAAAACAAAACTACCCTACCTGTATCGCATGGTTTACGTCTTACTACTTTAATAATTGGCTTTTGTTCAATTTTAGCTAGCTTGCTCGATTCCATTAAATGACAATAATTACGATATGTTTTTCCATCGGAACTAATTATATGATGATTAATGTATTTTTAAAGCCATCGGTTTATTTTTCACATACCCGCAAACTTCTACTTGATCATTGCATTCACATCGTGCCTCGCGTCGTCCACCACGAGCATCCATATGAACTCTATATGTTTAGAAGAAGAAAAAATAATAATAATATTTTATAATCTCCTTCAGTTGATTGAATTCATCAAGCATGTAATTTCAGAGGATCTTCTATTAAAATTTCTTGCAAGACTATTCAAATATTTGATACCTACTTGCACTGAAGACTTTCACCACAGGCTTCATATTGTTTGCTTGATGGAACATCGGGATGGTTGCATTGTTCGCTCTATTGATTATAAAACGTTTTTGAATATACATGCATTTATTAGTTTTACGAATCATCTACGAACTTCGCGTTGAGCACAAACTTGACAACAACCACATCTATCGAGTGTCAATCCAGCAAGACATTCTTTGTCCGATGTCTACAAATATTATTTTGGTAAAAGGAAAAAATACGAAAATAAAAATAAAGAACTTTACTAATGGACATTTCGATGAATCGCATGGTTCGCACGATCCTGTTTGACCTGAGACAATCGAATAGACGACTGCCAAAATGAATAATGTTAAAATACGAAGAATAGCCATCATATATAATCAATACTAATGAGTAGATATCTTGTTTGTTCTGTCTTCTTTCGTTCTCGTTACTGCCAATATTATATTTTTATGACTGTGGTTAGACGAGAGAAAGACGGGCGTTCCGTACAACAACCGCGATGATATATTGACAAATCTCTAACCGATATAGAGAAAAGAAGAGGAAAAAACAGGCCCGAGCAACGACGCCGACGATTATGCCGACAAAAAAAAATGACTTAGCCTTGATTTAGTGATATTCCATACGAGCATATCTCTATGTACTAGTCTACTCCAGTGAAGCAAAAATAATGGCCTTCTTATTTTCTTTATCCTTCATATATCGTACATATGTGACGATGGATAAGAAAATTCTAGCAAAAAAACAAATAATCCTTTGACTAATAGAATAGTCTTGTTATTGCATAAACATTGCTCTTTTCCTTCGGTATTCATATCATCTGGCTGTATGGTGAGTAATCGATTGTATAATCGACGTAAATATAAAAGAGCAGGCAGCAGATAAAACTCTACCATACGGCGTTTTGATGCAATTAGTATGATCATTGATACCGAGCAGACAGTGTTTGATATTGTCCTTCAGCGCTTGATGAAAAACAACTCGCATAGTTACAAAAGAAAATAATTCTTTTATTTTTATGTTTTCGGATTTTTGAACTGATGATAAAATGAGTTCTAAATTCAATGGCATGAATCCAGGCGTGGATAAGCATCATAAAAAGACGTCTGATATATCCTATGTAAAATCGATCGGTTTCGATAATCAATTTCATGCAAAGACAGGCACAATTGAAAGGCGAGCACGTTTTTGTCTTGTTTCAATTGTGGAATCAAAATCTAATGAACTACATAAATATTTACAAGAACGACAAAAGATGATAAATAAATTTAATAATCTTCTAGCAAAACGCTTGCAAGCTGACGAAAATCTTTCATTGGATTCGTTTAAACTGCTACGACAATTAGGCGAAGGAGGTTATGGAACCGTTTTTCTTGCTTATCATGCAGATAGAAATGAATATGTTGCATTGAAAGCCATTAGAAAATCTACATTAGTTGAAACAAATGAACAAAATACAATTATTTCTGAAAGACAATACGCATTTGCATTGAATCATCCAAATATTGTAAATACAAGTAAAATATTTACTTAGCTCGTAGAATTATGTCACAATAACAAATAATATTCTTCTATCAGTGAAATAATGTTGACCGTTCTATTCTTCACTAACCGGTAGTTTATTTTTTCTTCTTCTCACAGTCACATACTGAAGTGACTGTTGAAACCCATCAGACAATTTCTATGGTTTACAGTTTGTAATAACAACTATTTTCCGATATTCATCGATTGTAATTATGTTTATTTGATTCAGGCATAAATCTCTTCTCCATATGATAATTCACAAAAAAAACAAATTATTTCATGTTATCCCTGTCACGGAATTATCGATTACGAGCATAGAATTTTAATCAAGATTTCAGCAGAAATAGTCATCCGTATTAAGGATGATTAATTCTGCTGAAATTTCGATTAATGTCCAATAATCGTAATCGATAATTCCGTGATTAATATAGAGAATATTCAATATTTTTACATCGGTAGTCGAGACTAGTGAATCAGTTTGTCATAAAAAATGTTACGATTAGACGTGTTATTAAGAAATTTTCAAAAAAATATACCAAGCCAACCAATATCAAAATCATCAGTCTGCGTAAGTGACAGAGACAGGGGAAATTATGTCAACTAGCAGTTCTGAACTATTTCTCATTTCCATGTATAGTTGATTCTATTGTTCATGATAGACCGTTAAAATCGAAGAGTAAAAGGTTAGACTCGCTTCTACACCAAAGCGAGCACAGAAATAAAGTTCCGTTAACATAAATGAACTATGATGTCTTCATGACATTGGCGAAGGATTAAGTAAAATGAAATTGAATAAGTATGCCTCGAAACAGAGCAATTTCTTCATGATTAAAAGTACTATAATTGTTTCTTTATATTTTAATGCTACAAGGATAGCGTTAACAGCTGTTGTTGAAGCGATGTTTGAAATAGAAATTACATTCTTTACCGACGAAGAAAAGTTCTCATCAGAGTCATCGACAATCGTTGAAGCTATTGTGTTTTTAACTAACCGCATAAATAACATTCAAAACAAAATAATCACTTTTTAATTTTCATTATAGGTTCAACTTGTAACAAGTTTTAAAGATAATGAGTATGTTTATTTAGCGTTTGAACTTTTACATGGCGGAGATTTATATTCACTAATGGCTTATCAAAAATTAACGGAACTTCAAGCGAAATTTTATTCAGCTCAGATCGTGCTGACTCTTGATTATTTGCACAGGGTATTTTTCATAGAATTTATTAAAGAAAAGTGCAAGTTAGGCTGAGAAAGTTACACATCATACGGGCTGTTTAAGTTGTTTTTATAATTCATTGACACAAAGAAAACGAGAGCAAATAACTTATGAATTAAATATGAGAACATCTTGAAAATACTAATAGGCGTAGTTCTTTACTGTTATCGTAATTAAATATTTATGTTTTAATATCATCCTTGGCATCCCACTTCCACTTCCTATTGTCAAAATAAAGACATTCTTAATTGCAAGATTAAACAGAATAAAGAAACGATTCACCAACGGGTAATTTCCATAGACCGTAACTTTGACTCTTCAAGAAATTCTTATCTTTATTTAAATAATCGACTACTCATCCTCATTTCGTGCCATGTTTCTAAACTGAATCTATGTCCCGGAATGAAGCTAACGGAAAATTAATTTGTACCTTAAACAGGCGCATTGCCGAATTCACAAAGAAAATGTATTTTTATGCTTCAGTGCAAAGTAGTCTTTCGTGATCTAAAACCTGAAAATATCGTCTTGACACAACGTGGCTATATTAAACTAATCGATCTTGGCTTGGCAAAAATTATTCGCGGTTATAGTAAAACATTTTGTGGCACTCCACACTATATCGGCAAGTTTTTTTCTGTTTATTTTACATTTAATTATGCAATCAATTTTTTAATTATTCAGCACCTGAGATCATCATGCATCAGCCATATACAATATCACCTGATTATTGGACATTGGGCATCGTTATTCATGAATTAGTGACTGGTGATGCGCCCTTCGATCGAACATACAGAATAGGTTCAAATACAAATGATAGCGAATCAATCGAATACGAATATGATTTTCGATCGAAGAGTACTATCGAAAATCATATATCGAATATTATCCATTCGTCATCAAAGCATTACAACATGTAAAACGAAAGAAATTCTTATCTATAGAGTGTTCTGAAAAAAATGCTTTTTTCTTCGCTTTTCATTAATAATGATGATCTAAGACATTGTTCTGTATTTCAAATAGCCTTGGGGAATCAATAGTAAATTCCGAAGAAAATGCAATTAAAACATTCAGATACAGTTACAGTCCGTTGAGAATTCTAACTATTTATGAAAATAACCAGAGAAGAGTAACTTATGATTAAACTTCACATAGGAGCAAACACTTGAACAATAATATTTAATACAAACATATCTTTTCCTTTACTTTTAGTTTTCAATGAGATATAAGTGTGAGGAATTTGAGTTTTTCTTTTTATATTTCATTGCGATACCCTACTGTTTAATAAACTATTGAATCATTGAGAGAGTACAGTACTGCGTCCATGATATAATATTAAACTAAAATGTATAATTAATTGTTCTTAAAAGTAATCGAATACAAGAAATAGAAAGGCAGTGAGAATTATTTTATCCTGAGAGATATTTGTTCGAGAAGTTCAACAGCTCTAATCTTGTATGGGTATATTTTTCTCTTATAAAAAACAACGCGCTTTTTAATTTGATTTCATGGGGATAGGTTTATGACAAACAAACAGCATCGTCCCCATATTAGGTAAATCTTAGTTTTTTGTATCAATCTCTAATTTTATTTACTTATGAAGTTCTTCTATGAAGAAGAAAAAGATAGGTACGATTGCCGTGAGACAAAACAGAGCTTGTACGAGTGATATAATAGTCAGTAAAAGTAGAATCTATCTGCGTTTAGTGAATGAGATTCAGAAGGTATCAAACGAATTGATTTTTTTCCATTCTAAATTCCATAATAGGTATCTTCGAATCATCAATGGTTGTGCATCAATTAATCTTAAACATTCAAGTATAAATTGTTTATCAATTATACGCGGTTTACTTCAATATAATGTTGAACAACGTCTCGGATGTGGCAAACGTGGCACTCTAGATATTATTGAACATGCTTGGTTCGACGAAGTTAATTTCTGGACATTATATCAACAGAAATACATAGCTCCGTTTATTCCTATTCGTAAATATATTTTCACAGATCGATATGAAGATGACACAATACTTAGGTTTACGGCGAAAAATCTATACGAAAGTGAATTTAAGGAATTTTAATGTAAAATAGTATCGCCTGTGAGAGATTCGTGATACATTTTTCCGGTCATTATACATATAGTTATTATGATTGACTGGCGGATATGAATGTGTTTGTTATATTTGTAAAGAAGAGTGAAATCGCATATTTTACTGATTATATTATAATTTATTTGCGCACTAATATTCATCGCAAGTTAGTTATTATGTACGCCATCAGATTTGCAATTGACGTACGGCTGACTATTTCCGTTAAAAAATAAAATATATCGACAATAAATAAAAAACACCCTTTTTCCCTTCTATTCTTCTTCCTATTTGTTTCTCTTTATTTAGATGTCCGGATATTTTTTATCAACATTTGGATTTATCGCGTTCTTACTTCTTGCTACATTTGTCTCATGTTCGCCCGTATTTATTCAAGATGATGATATATCTACCGAACACGACGATCAATATCTTCGCAAAACCGACAGCAATGAAGAAGCCATGAAAATTATGGTACCGACGATACTATCATTTCTTCGAGATGAGCGTTCAACAATTTTATATCCTCGTGTACATCGTAATGCATGGTATCGAGTGTCAACATATCAACATCGGCAACCATCGATTTCCGAAGAAAAAAACGATGGTAATTCTGTTATGCGATGGGGCCGTAAATGAACCAATAAATCATAATCATAATAATAATAAATGCTTATAAGCGACATTTTTTTCTTCTTCTTCTCCTTCTCCTTCTCTGCTTTAATAAATCTAAACTAGCATGCATATTGTGTGCGTGTCTAACAACAGACAAGAGATAAAAATAAGAAGTTAAAAAAGAAAATGTAATCAGCTGCTTACATGCAATAAGAAATTATTTTGTTCTCTTCTTCTTCATCTTCTTCTTTTTATACTAAAATAATGAAATATAATCTGCATCTTCATTGATTATAAGAACTATTTAATGTCAGCTAAATCAATTTTAGTGCTCATTATTTTTATCGCTGCGATTAAATAAAGCCTGACGCTTAGTTATTTCAGCATAAGAAAATATTTTGCTTGCTGAAGCATTAGTTACAAATAGGTAAGTTTGACGCATCTACGTTGAAGGTGAATATAAATATGCCATTCTTTTAATCATATCCACGCCAGATCAAAAGCATGCATACAATTATTGTTTCCGTGCTTGTATTGATTAGCATATGGGCTATGCTTGCCACGTCGTCGCCAATTGGAAATCAAGATGATGAATTGCAATTTTTAAGGAACCTTATATTTCATCCCGTAGCACATCGATTTCGATTATCACCATGGGCGCATAAACGTACTGCAGGTTTATGTGATTATCGTTTACAACATCGGCCATTACCGTTGACCAATTCATTATGTGCTTTTGGTTAGTGACATTTGCTTATCGATGGTTTCAGTAAATGAATTTTTCTTTTACCTTTTAATTTAGGTCACAACAGAGATGGTCATCATCAAGCTCATTTATTTAAATATGGCTAAGAATTTTCGAAAGCTTCTACCGCGCGATGAATCAATCCTATGCTTTATTTCGAATAAATTAATCAAATTCAGAAACAACAGGTTTTTTTTCTTCTTCATAAATTTAAACGGGAAAATATTTCAATTGGCCTTTTCAACCAGTATTCAAGCTGGATTATCTCGGCTATGAAAAGATTAGCCAGATGAGACAATGAATAGTAACATCAACATAATTATTTAAAACGAAATTGAATAATTCATGTAGATTCATTGCAAAAGAAAACCTGGAATTATTATAATTAGAAAATATTATTTATTCATATTTTGACATGTATCAATTTTTTATTACACTAATATTGATATTTGGCAGCTGGTTGCGGCGAAGTTAGAATCATTGGTAAAGAAACCCACAGATATCTCCTGTTGTTTGAATCCCAACGCACATTTCCTCTCCTCCTGCACAACATGTGCATAGCATCTTTAGAATTGCCTTCGGCACTAATGATTACTTAGTAAAAATATTGTACAGCAATATCCAGCTTTTTCCTGATCTTTGCTGCCTGTCAATCTTGTACCAAAACATATTTAGCAGACAATGGGAAAAGTAGTTCATATGCCCACGCTCAATTTTAAATAGTTAATTGTTCTATTGTAAATGGATGCTGAGATAAAGCAGGAACAAGTGAAAATCCTAGAACGAAAATAAAAGAATGCTGTCTTGTCTATGATTAAAGAGAAGTTTACGTCAGAAAGCCTGAGGACACTGTCAACTATTAAACTTCCAATCCTATGAGAAAGTTGGAGAAAAATGACGTGCTTTAATCGAGTCTTTTCCAACAATGAATTGAGAAGTAATGAATAATACATGTCACTTTTGTAGACGCTGGATAAAAATCGATTGATAAATTTGGTCTTTATAAACAAATCAGTGCACTTTTGTCTCAATAGAAAAGCCTTTACTCTCTTAGAGCAATCAAGGAAATTAATAGCAAATCTTCAGATTTCTATTGGTTTTACCGTAAACAGAAAAGGTCCATCAAGATCAAAAAATTTAAAGATTTCTCTGCTAACAACCAACCTACACTAAAATAATTCAGTTATGCTTTTCAGGTGAAACAAAATTCAATTCACACAAATAGAATCGTTTTTTTCCCATTAAACTTCTTCGTTTCATCATTCATGTATAGCATCGCCTTACGTTAACTTCCGTCTTTCTTCACATTTTTGTTTTGTTTGCAACAACAAAACAAATATTCCCCTATGGTCAATTCAGCTACTAGCCGCGTTTGAATATGTGCCACTTAATTAATTAAAATTGGTCCTGTATGTCTATATACTTTTTAATATTTATATGTCACGCATATGTAAATTTGTTGAACAGACAACAACAAAGAAAAAAAAGTAGCAACTAATAATAATAATAATTGACGAAAAGAAAAAGATGAACAAAAAGACAAAAAAAGAAGGACATGTGTACATATACAAGTTATTTGTTTACAGACCCTACAGACAGACAAACAAATCGGGATATTTATTTATTTCAAATGAGATCATCTGTGAGAATTCTATTGAATCAGATTTAATGATGAAGACTTTTGAGTTGGTGTCGATTCAACTGAGGTCGTTGATGCGTTAGCTGAAACGTTATTTGTTGAATTAGTGGCTGTAAACAAAACAAAACAGATGTGTGAATAATATTGAAGAAGAAAAAAAAGCAGATTTTCATTTTCTCATATAATATCAATAGATTTGTTTCGCATCGTTTATCAAATAAAAGATACAAAAGAGAAACGAAGTATTTTTACGAGCATAGTCAGATTGAAAACTAAGTTATGGCATCATTTATCTTCAAAATGTCAAAGATATCAATAAATCTTATAATGTCAACAGTTGTGCTACAAATAAATTTCTTCGTTTCTTTCTTTTTCTCTTCTATTTTTACACTCAAACTTAAACTTAAATGAGTAAGGAAAGTTTTAGTTTTGTTTTTAATCATTGAAAATGAAAATCAGTAAAATGTCATTTGTTCTAATCTAATCTCTTACTTGGTTTTGCATTGTTCGCTGCTGGTAAAGCAAATGGCCCGATAAAATTTGTATAATTTGCATAGGCATAACCGTTACCATTAGTTGTTGCCGGTGGCGAAGTTGCCGATTGTTGACTTTGGCCGTTTTGCAAACGGGATAGAATGTTTCTTTCGGACATATTCAGTCGTTGAGCGACTGGCGGAAGCCGAGCCAATGTTGCTGGCAATTTGTTTATTTCCTGTTTCATATCGCTTAATAATTCTTCCAGTTGTGTTAGTACTAAAATTCAAAAACAAAAAATATAGACATCAAGCTTGTCGACTGTGCATTTTATAATATATTCGACCGATCTGACTAATCCCATGCAGTCGAAAAGTGAATTATCTGTGATCAAGATGATTTCCTTGCCTTTGTTAAGTACAGCATTGGCTGGTTTATTTCCTGCTAATGATTCTTTTGATAAATGTTGATGGCATTCTGCTAAACATTCGACTTCGCTAAAACGTTGTGAAAGTGTCAATGCAGGATTTGTTTGTTCCATAGCTAAACCTAAGAAAGCCGCACGACGTAGTTGCTCTTCAATGACAAGCGCTTGTTCAAGTAATTTGAATCGACGTGCAAGAAATTTATTTTTCATTTCAAGAAAATTTCCTTTGGCCATGTCCATTTTAAACGGTTCATTGATAATAGAAAATTTCGGGTCAATTTGTATGTCTTGCCAACGTGAATAACCGTGAGTAACGACGCCAGCTAACAACCAATAATCATGTCGACGATGCCAAATTTCATGTTCACGCTTCGGTGCTAATGCACGTTGTTCATTTAACCATAATGAATGAAGTTCCGTAAAACCACCATCAGCAATATTAAACATGAATTTAAAATCTTTTAATTTTTCACTACGAACAAATTGAGATTTACGATTGTGAGTTACGGGTTTATTATTTTCAACTACAGGAACAGTTGCTACATCGGGTTTTTCGTCTAAATAGAAATAAATTCACTTTAGAAGCCCTTGCGATTCTCTTCCAAAAACAAAATTTGTTCTAAAGAGTATTCTGAATTATAATTACTTACCAATAGCTGGCTTTTCTAAACTTGATTTCTCATCTTCATTAGTTGTGGTATCTTTCATATCAACATCATTTTGATCAGTTTTATTATTAATTAAATCACTTAAACTCATCGACTCTCCAATTAAATTATTACTTGAACTTGCTGTTGCTAATGTTTCATTGGATTCGTTTGCTTGAACATTCTCAGTATTATTAGTTGCCACTTTATTATCATTGATTGGTTTAAATTCATCGATTAGATCATTTGAATTTTCATGTGAAGGTGCTTGATCTGGCATTGACCATAGGCCATTAATATTTTCAAATTCTTGTACTTTCTTTCTAATTAATGACATTATACCAATACGTGAAAGTACATGATGTCTTGATAAACCTTCGCGTGGTACACCATCAGAAAATGTTTCAGAATTTTCCGCTAAGTTTTCACATAAATGTTTCATAAATAATGATACATAAGCACGAAATTCTTTTTCCGATTTACAACGTAAATCACGAACTAACCATTGAGATTTAAATGCATCCGGTGGTGGAATACCAAAACGCATAATAGCATTTAAAAATGCTTTACGTTGTCGTGGATTAAATCCTAAAATTTCAATATTTGGACCTGATTTTGATAATAATGGAGGTAATGGACGATCGCGTCCTGTTTTACGTCGACGATCAGGTGTTTCATCAAAATCAACATCTTCATCTTCACCGCCGGCCGATGGTGCATCATATTCACTGGCTATATCAGAATTGTGTTCATTCCAATTTTCATCAGTGGTCGGTACAGCATAATTAACTTGACGTTTTAACCGTTTACCTTTACCATAGGCATGACTTTCTAATTCTCTTTCTTGTTCAAATTGTAAACGTAATAATTTTTCCCAATAGTTTGGATCCATATTTTCTTCGGCTGTTGGTGCTGGTTCACGAAAATCTTCTTCTTCATCTTCTTCATTAGTTTCACGCGTCGCATAGGATGCCACTTTGAAACTTGATAAATATTCATTAAGACCATCTTCTTTTTCTTGTATGCCTTCTTGTGAACGATCAAGTAACCTCTCAATCGCTTGATCATCATAGTGAATTTTTGAAAATCCACTTTCACCACCACCTTCACCATTGCCGACAATATCCTCGTCGTCTTTAAATAGATCTTCCGTACCAAAACGTAATATATCATCTAATTCTTTTTTGCTCATATTTTGACCTCGGCCAACACCTGGCCGAACGACTAAATGAGTTAACATCATTTTTTTCTTGGCAACTTGTGTAATACGTTCTTCAACTGTATCACGTGTAACAAAACGATAGATCATGACTTTATTGGTTTGACCAATACGGTGAGCACGTGAAAGAGCCTATACAAAAAAAAATTCGATGGATCGAAGCGAGTTATGTGGCAGAAATGTTTTGTTTTCTTACTTGAATATCATTATGTGGATTCCAATCGCTATCATAAATAACGACTGTATCAGCTGTAGCTAAATTAATACCCAAACCACCTGAACGTGTTGAAAGTAAAAAGCAAAATTGTTCGGCGCCTGGTGCATTAAAACGATCAATAGCATCTTGTCTGTCGGAACCACCTGTTTTTCCATCCATACGTTCATATTTATAACCCAAATATTCAAGAAAATCTTCAAGTATATCTAACATTCTTGTCATTTGTGAAAATATTAATACACGATGCCCTTGATCTTTTAATTTTCTTAACATTTTAGCTAATAGATCTAATTTTCCACATGATTTGATTAAAGCTGTTCCTTCGTATGCTAAATTTGGTGTACGTGGTGCTTCAAAATGTCCAGCTGGTAATAGATATGGATGATTTGAACACTTTTTAAGTTCCATAACAATGTTTAATAATGAAACTTGTCCACCGCCACCTTTGACATTTAAAGCATCGAAATTTTTCGTTAATATAGCACGATAATATTTTTTCTGTATTGGACTTAATTCAACACGAACGATAAATTCCGATTTTGTTGGCATATTTTTTAAGACATCAGCCTTTAAACGACGTAACATATGTGAACCTAAAATATCATGTAATTTTGCAACTTGTTCATCTTTAGCCAAATCACTAAATTCTTTTAAAAATCCATCCATATCACTAAATTTTTCCGGTTGTAAAAAGTTCAATAAATGATATAATTCTTCAAGATTATTTTGTAATGGTGTACCTAAAAGATAAATACATCAGAATGAAAATTGCGCACTTTTCTTTCCTTCTATTATCTTCTTACCAGTAAGAAGACATTTATAGCCAATATTAAATTCGAATAACGTTCGAAAGAATCGTGATTGATTATTTTTCAAACGATGAGCTTCATCAATAATTAAAACTGACCAATCGACGGATGAGAGTGTAGCTGAATCGACACTAACCAATTCGTACGAAGTTAATAATGCATGAAATTTAACTTTAGCACCATTTCGAATACGACTTGCACGTGGACCAGCACGAATTGCATCCTCTAAAATATTTCATCGTCAAGTTAGTTAGTGTTGTCTAGACGAGTCCCACTGAGTTATGAACTCATTAGAATCTATTGATAACTATTTGCCGGAGTCATCATTTCGATAATAAATCGTTTTCAAATGAATCCCAATCAATTTTTTCTTACCTTCATATGAAAATTCATGTTTTCGAATGACAGCTCGAGCTTCCTTATCACCCGTATATGTCACAACATACATATCCGGTGCCCAAAATTCAAATTCACGTTCCCAATTGATAATTGTTGCTAATGGTGCACTGATTAGAAAAGGTCCTCGTGAAAGGCCTTCTTTCAATAAAGCCTGTAAGAATACAATTGTTTGGACTGTTTTACCAAGACCCATCTCATCAGCAAGAATAACATCAGTATTTTGTGAAAATGAAAAACGTAACCAATTTAAACCTTCTAACTGATACGGATGAAGTGTACCACCAGTGATTTCAACAAAATCAGGTTGTTTTTCATAACGTTTACGTGGTGGTGGATATTTTCCTGTACGTTCATATTCATCGCCTGAATCACCGTTGGCTTCATTGCATCGACTTTCTTCAAGTTCGCGATTTGATCGACGAGTTGTTTTAGTTGATGTTGCTTTTTTCTTCTTTTTCTCTTCGCCCTCGGGACCATTTCTAAAGCCAGACAAACTCACCAGTTTATATTGTCCAAAGGGGTAAACATCTTTATCTATATCGCTTAATAGTCTACTCAAAATGAAAGGTAGTCGTCATCGGGGTCTTTAATTTAACATAATCCCAAGAGAATAGAAATCATATATATATATATATATATAGTTTTGTTCTTTATCACATGTAGAAGTCGCTGATTTTATAAAAAAAAAAAAAAAAGAAAAATTTACCTGAATCTCCAATAAGTATCAATATGTTGCTGCCAATTTTCAATTAAGCTTGTATATTCTCCATCTTTTTCCACTTCCCATGTTGCTTGTTCATAACCTAAGTCTCGCCACTTGACTAAATAATACATTGGTGTACCTTTTTCTTTTCGATGATTTAATATACGATGTACACAAAGCCATTCAGGTCGTACGCCATTTTTATAATATCGTTGTTCTAATTTTGGATTATAATAACGACGTGAAGCTTCATCGTCTTCCTCAACTTCAGCATCTAATTCAACAGTTGGTTGCGGTTGTTTGGCATCACCAATCTTTTTAATGTAACAACGCCATAATGATGATTGATGAACTTCAACTTGTAATTCAGGTAACCATTCACATGACCAATATGATAAACCATCATATTTAACGAATAATTCCCTTGTTTTAGGTGGACCGCGTGGCGCACCACGTGGTAATGTAGCATCAAATGTTGGAATCAGACGTTGTTTAACATCAGCACCGATATCTGCACCCTCAGCCGGTGGAACTGTATCTAGCGCCGTTGTTCTTGTTATTACATGTTTAGATGTGATGACCGTTGTTGTCGTAGCTGATTCACCATTTTCATCAACTTTAGTTACTTCAGATGTTACGGTATCTGTTGTCACAGATGAATGTGGATCAGGATGCGTTACCCAACGCCATGTAAGAACCTTTTTAACGACATACGGTGGTGGATCAATCTAAAAAGGAGCAAAATATGCAAATAAAATTAACAATAGAAAAAAGTTTTGTGACAATGAATTCGATGAATAGAAACTTTATTCGTGTGTTCAATGAACCAAAACAGGTCATAATAACTCTGTATTATTTATGAGTACTTTGATTGAACAAATTTTATGTTGATTGCTTGAGCGAATATCGAATTCAAGAAGACAGAATAGAATTAACGCAATAAAATATATCTATAGTGAGCTCATCAAGACAGTTTCCGAGAGATTGGCTAATTTCCGGAAGTAGCTTCTTTTTATCTTTCTCTTATAAAGTCACTTGCGATCGTTTGACCGAATGATTTTTATATTAGTCAAAAGACAAATGTCAAGAGATTAAAGGAAATGACTCTATCGACTGTTAATCCTTGAAATAATATCTAACCTGTATTGATAGCCATCGAAAATATGCTTAATAAAATCCACATGTATCCCTAAAGAATTACTCGTGAAGAAAATGCGTTAAGTAGTTGCATAGATTAATGCAAGTACCAAAAGAAAAATGGACTCGTTTCCCCTTTTTCTCTAGTAATTTGACTGCCTATAGAAACTAGCTGTTCTGTGTAATCCAAAGTTTAATATACTTACAGTACATCGTGGACAAAACCAATCCTCGTCGGGTATAACTGTCATCGACGGAATTAAACAATGCATGTGATATGATGATGGACATCGATCGCAACATAATAATTCTCCACCATCATGACAAACACGGCAAAATTCCATATGATTATCGTCTTCTTCTTTGGCTTGCCGAGCAGCTGCAATGGCTGCAGCTTGTCGTGTACGTATTGATATACCATTTTTCGTGCATTCCGGACATGACCAATCGCCCTCAGGGGCTTGTTCAAGTTCAGGATCAAGACAAACAAGATGATAAGCTTTTGGGCATGTATCACAAAGTATGATTTCTCCACCTTGTTGACATACTTCGCAATAGTCCTGATGATTTGTTTCATAACCAACTTCATCCAATGGTAAATTGGCAGCTTCTTCAGCGGCGGCTTGTAACTGACGACGATTATTCAAACGTGCTATACGTTTAGGTGGTTTAGGTAGTTTTTTAACACGTTTTTTTTTTGGTGGTTCTTCTTCTTCATTCATTTCACTTTGTACTAACATGGCTTCGAATTCAGCATCAGATTCATTTGCTGGATCGTCATCATCGCGTCGTTTACGTTTACGCTGACGGCTTGACTTTTTAGTTGCTTTAATTTCTTCATCCTCGGCTGCTTGTTGTTCTTTGGCTGCAATGGCTGCTGCTGCCGCTGCTTGATCTTTTTGCAATTTTATTTTCAATGACGGAATTTTTTTATTATTACTACGTGACGATGAACTACGTGGCGATGCTGTTGAAATATCATCATCGTCTTGTTGCTGTTGTTGGTCAATAGATACATCTTCTTGATCATTATCGTCTTGTACAGCTGTACGACGACGACGACTAGAACGACTTGGACGTGGTTCGTCGGTATCCATTCGGTCGTTTCCATCATGATCATTGTGAGATTCGGTTAAGGAATTATTCGATGAATTTTGTGCACCTTTCAATTCAAGAAATTCACGCCAGTAAGCAGCCATTAAAGTCATAATCTTTTGAGTTGCTAATTTCGGATAACGTGAATTAATTATGGGACGTACATTTTGAGAAAACAACTTGAATGTTGAGAGATTAACATAGTCATTATCGGAATATTTCATTGGAATATAATCAATTCCACACTCGTCACAAACATCCTTGGACGATTTTTGATCCTTAAGAAAATAATAACGAATTGAGTCATGAGTGCAATATTTATGTGTATCTATACCTTGGATTTTTTACTTCCATTATCGTCATTAGAAGATAATACGTTCGGCTCGTCAGACATGAGGACTTTTTTATTGTTGGTTTATCATCTAGAATAAATGAAAATAATGAAAGAAAGACGCACGAAATTTGTCTCCCATCTTGATTTTTTTTCTGTTCGTTCCTCTACAATGCCGTCCGTATATTAATGATCATCAGTTAACTGACATTAATTGAACTCTTTCTTTCTATTTGGCAAGACGTACAAAGCTATTTATTCAGGGACGCCACAATCGGTTTAAATTGCACAGAGAAAATAGTGACATTCAAATGTTAAAATATCCTTCTCCAATGAAAAATCTAGATCGATGGGTACAATAGATAGCGCTGTTGAATACGACAACGTTTCTTTTTTTGTTAATTTAGTTGGCGTATGTACGTATACTGTATCCGGTATGGGTAATGGCATATAGAATTACAAGAAATATTCTACTCGTAGGAGTTTCAAGTTGATGAATCTATGCGCCGTATGATATTTATATGTAATAACTTTGTTTTTGCGATATATGATGTTTTTGTCGTATGAAAATATTCTCCGTACTTCTTGAATAGTATTGGCTATATAAATTAATTAGTCTATGGAATAAAAAACGTTCGATGGAGAGTCTTAACTAAATTCGTTATTGAGTAGTGACATTATAAACGCAACACGGTAAAAAACAAACTCGTAAATGAATACTATCGGCAGCGTTGAAAAAGTGTTCATCTATGTGACAAATTGTCTATATGACTCCAGAATCATCATAAAAAAGAGCAGTTTTAGAAATATGGATTTCTTTACTGAACTCTTTAAACGAGATATGAAGATTGCTGCATAATCTACAAACTGTGACCATGCTTGAGGAAGAGAAGAGGGAAATATGTGTTGATTTAAAATAAAAGTAGCTCCAGACAGTTGGCGCTACTAGTTATTAAGTGTTAGATATGTTGCCAATTCAATTCTTTTGTTCAACGGGTCGAATGATTTTCGCATAAAGTGTGATCGACAGCTATTTTTTCACAAAGAACGATATCCATCAATGTGTACTACCCATGACTTCCATACCCAATGCATCGAATCGACATCAAAATTCCTATTATGAAATTTGATCCGAAATAAAAAAATCAATAGTTTTCTTGCAATTTTTTTAATGTATGCGATTCATTTTTCTTCCATTTGATGACCGGATATATTTCATCATGCGAATCAAATTCTGTGACACATCTGAAAACTAACCCATAGGCGGCGCGTCTGCTATGCAGGGGGTATCAATTGCTACCCCTATGGAAATTTAAGGGTAGCAATAAAAAGTTATGGCTACCCCTAATAATACACATTTCGATAATTGTTGAAAGAACGCTTATACATAATGAGCCTTGTTTTATTTTCTTCTGAAGCTCTACTTTCATCATGTATGTCTGACATTTCTTTCTTTCAAGTTTGATGTCGGTTTGCATTACATGGTTGGAGAAACAAAGACTATGTTCTCGCTTCCTTTTCTGATACAAAGAAACTCTTGATTAATTTCCACTGTTTTATATTCAATTCGATTTTTTTATGATGTAATACGAACAGTTCAAAAGTCGTGTTTTCAATACTTTATTTCCGTATAGAAAGCTTGAAGCAATTTTCTTTTTTCATATAGTGATAGAGAAAACAATGTTCTTTTTTTCTATGGTACTTGATCAATCTTCACTTAATATCAAAATTAAAAAGCCTGCATAAGAACTGTTTTTTTCCATAAAATGTGACGGTAGCACTAATTATATTAAAAAGGCCAAGTGAGTACTTTTGAGTAACTTTTCATTGGAACAAGATAGAGAGCTGTGGTCTTCACAGTTTGAAAGAAAACATAAAGATGTATCGAATCGTATATTTTAGGTTTTTTCACTCTGATTTTCTTAAGATTTTTCAGTCTTCTTTCAAAATAAATCTACTTCGCGAGGTATATGCAGCGAATTTTCTATTATCACGTGTGCATTCAAACCGTTAATGAAAGATCTATACAACAGCAAAAACAGCTGACATGTTTAGAATTTACTATTCTGGAGTTATAGGTATTCTAGTAGAAGCCGTAAGCGATTTTTCTAGCAATTTCTGTAAAAAGGTTTGCTTTTGTTGTTTGCTATTTGATGCAAAACTATTTCTTTGGCACATAGAAAATTGATTAAACATTTTCGGTTCAATAAACTTATTGCTACCCCTAGAAACGTCAGCTTGCGCCGCCCATGAACTAACCAGGGAAATCCCTGAAGGTGAATATATATATTCTTCTAAAAATAGATACGTCTCGTAGATAGGCGAGATTAATGACAAATATACATAATTATGTTCTATGTATAGTATCATCAATAGAATAGTTATTATTTGTTTTTACAGTACATGAATCATGATCAACAATTGTGTTATAGCACAGATACTCAGATTATGTTAGATAAGTGTTACTTTTTTAGGAGTATTCGAGTGAAACGTTGTTCATCAGTCATTCTTCAATAGGAATTTTCCTATGATATTGGTCGCGGGCAACTAGTTGTCTCTGATGGGACATTGTCAAGAATTGATTCATTGTGGTTGTTTATCTTCTATATCGTTAATAGCTGACTTCATAATGGTTTTCATCGAATTTCAGGTACGAAAGCAAAGCCTTTCATTTGTTAAATTTCTTCCAACAAGGAACATATATCTAACTCATTGGAAACCATACCAAGGTTCTATTGTTTACTCAATTAGATCTATCAGTGATTTAGATTAATGTGCTTTGTGAGTACAAGAACTAGAACAATAAAATGTTGAATGCCGTGAAAAAGTTCGATCATTTCTTGGCGCAGAAATGACTAAAACTAGGTCAACAAGATCCAGAAAAAAAAAATCATTACTTCATTGGTTGTGTGATAAAGTCAATTACCCTTAATAGTGTTATTCAATCCTTGAATGTCATATAAATGAGATCATTTTTTACATAAAAGGCACTTTTTAGTTATAATTAAAGAGCAAATTTGCAGTTGAAAGAAATTTTGTTACACATTGACATATGCAGAATAATGAAATTCGCTATCCTTTGTTGTTATATTTAGCACGTTCTAAATATGATTCCGTACAATCAAAAATCTGATTTTCCGCAAATAGTTTGAACAGCCCTGTAGCTATGGAATAAATAGCATTGTGTAGCCCGTAATACTATGTTTCTAGTCTTATTTCATTATATTTTCAGTTATGTAGGCAGACTTTCAGGAAGTCATTCGCGGATATTTGCAATATAAATTTTCTCAAAAACGATTTGCTTGCATATGAATGTAATCACATCGACTGTAGCCCATAATATCTTATCAGTCACATCAATTGAATTCTAATAACTCACAGAACAAGAATGACAAAACTACAATTTAAAGTCTCATATTTGGAAGAGTAGTTTTCTTCTCTTATGGCAAGCGTGGAGAAAAATGATTACATTGGTATCATGAAAAAGGGCATCGGGAACATGAATAATGTTGAAGAATGAGAAGTATCAGTATTCATGTTAATTATGTTGTTTTTCAGCAGTAAACACTTACATAAGTTCATCTATATCTACAACCAAATTATAATAAACGAAGATAACCGTTATTTTAATTTTGTTAAAAAAAAATTTCATTTGAAAACAATTTTATAGAGCAAAGTATTCCCTGTCAGAATGGCCTAAGACTAGAAAATATTATGATTCCATTTCATGTATGCCGCCTGTAGTTGTTTAACAATGCCTATTACACCACCAAGGAATAACACAATCCGTGAATATATTTATTTGATTCATTGTCAATACGAGCTGCACGGTTCATTCAATAGATTACCCTTTCTATCCTAGATAAGGCTTCTCAACGACGTGTTAATGTCAACTAATCCCTTATAAACTTCTCTACTAATAGTAATTTCCAGAAAAAATAGTGTTGTCCCAAATGTTGTGAATCTTTATCTGAGGTATATTCATAATCATTACTTGTTGTTTCTGTATAAAAGCCAACAATGAAAAATATCCTGTTCATTTATTGATAAGAAATCAAATACGAAAACTTTCAAAAAAGAAAACAAACAGTGATAAATCAGAATGTAGATCGACAAGTTTAGTACGAGTTAATTTCTAATTTTTGTTAAATTGATTTCTTCATATGCACAACAGAAAATAATCATGTTTGCCGAACAAATAATAGCATAAAGACCGAGTCTTAGTTTGCGATATGATACATTTTTTTTTAAACAGAAAACATCTGACTACTAATTGGCAACGTTATAAATGTTAGAATATTTTTTTTATGTCGTACGTATAATGTTTCATTCTTAAAACGATATGTATGAATCTTATTATTCTAAGTTCATTGATCGCAAAAATTAAACCTTAACTCGTCTTTTTCTTCTCTCACGTGAAACAATTCTTTTACGCGAACGATTCTTATACAGTACTTTCTATTCTATCAAGCGTTTCGTTTACGTCGTAATATCTCAAATTTATTATTTTCCGTTGTTCCAATAAATCAGAACAGCTGTCAGCTGTCTTTGTCATTTTTTCATCAGTATGATTATGATTATGATTATGATTATTATTATTATTAGTTAGAGTTGCCGTACGAGTTGTCGAAGGTAAGCATGTAAATTTAAAATAATGTTTCAATGGCGTATGTTGAAGAATTTCCACAATAACACGAAAAACTTCTTGGCGAAATTTTTTTCCGGTTATAAAATAAATGTAAAATTCAAAAACTGTATCAATTAATGCTAACATACGTAAAATAAGATAAACATTTGATGCTTTTAAATCTTCTGTTACACGAGCTTGATTTGAACGATAACTTGATTTAACATAAACATAAATACTTGCGATACTATTCGTTGTTAAAAATACAAAACTTGTTGTTAATGTTATTGTTGTTTCGTAACTAACATCTTTTTTTGTTAATTGATTTGCCATATGTCTTATGGATGAACGTGATGAATCCGAACGAGGAAGGTCTTGGCGTGATAAATTACCATTATGATGTAAATTTAGTCTTGACGTGCGTTTCGCTGGTACTTTTAAAACATAAACAATAATAACGACATTTGTTGATGCAACAATCGTAAATGGGATTATTGATGAAACGATAAAATTAATTATTGGACCATTATAAAATAATTCTTGAGTTACTTGAAAGCCACTAAAGGAAAAATAGCCCATTTGTCGACCGAATAGTACATTACAATATGTAAATGAACGATTGTTATTATCAACAAATGTTGATTTTACTAAATTTGGATAATAAAAAATGTGCCAATTATAAATTAGGCCACAGACCATCATCAATAGAATGAGTACGAATACGTGAAGACGTGTTGGTTGTGGTAAATATTTTCCATGTACTATGGTAACAAGTCGTACTGTACAAGCGAGAATAACGAAACCTATTGACCAGGATACAAATATATCAGTACTACGCGATAGAACGCATAGTAAACGAGATCCATTGATTTGTTCGTCTTGAAGAAAAAATTTCGTATCGAAAATAAATGTCCATAGGAGTGGTACTGCGTCAAATATGGTTTTTAATAGAAGCAGTAAACCAGTGGATGTACCACGAAGCTTAAAATAACAAAACACAAAGAAATTATTCTGGGAAAGCTTCAATAACTAAGAAAAATAAAGCTACAAACCGGTTTCCGAAGAAATATAATACAGTTAAAAAACTTTCCAATTAAACCAAAAGTAATTAGAACTACAGCAATAATTTGTAAGATTTGTGCGTATCTATTTTGATAATGAAAATATTTATAATTAGTTTTTTAAATTGGAAAATGCAATCTAAATTGCCCATGTTATTCAATTTAACAGAAAAACAAAATTGATTGGCCCGTTTAGTCTACACATTTAACTGTTTCCTATTTGTTAAAATATTCTTTTCCGTCCTAAGAAAATTGTCTACTTCTTCTGCAATCTTTTGATTCATTTTAGCCAAAACAAAAGTATTATTTTTTTGTATTAATTCAAAGAGAATGAAAAGAAACTACAGAATATATCATCAAAGATAGTAACACGTGCAGACATAAATATATTATAAAAAAAAAATGAAGATTCAAGTCAGCTTTTGAAATTATTATTACTTATTCCCTATTGTGTTTACGACTTATCATTTAGTTTAGCGCAGTATATAGAATAGATTTTTGTTTTGTTGTCTTTGTCTCATCTGAAGCATCTTTGAAATCCACTGCTTTATTCTATGTTAATTAAATTTGGCAGAAAAATTAGAAAATCTTATTTTATTATTTTCTCATATATATATATATATATATATTCTCTAAAGAATTCACGTCGAATTTTTATCTTTAATAGAAATTTTGATCAATAGTTATAATTTACTTTTCTGCTGTATTAAGATATAATGTTGTATGACGTTCCGAACATTGATTTATACATTCTAAATCGTAAGAATCATTACCAACAAGTGCACCACTGTTAGTAAAACTATGACATGATGCCATGCAAAGAAACATTTCGTCACCCATTACATAAATATCATTTTAAATTTAATAGCCAATTCTAAAATCTAAAATAGCAAAATAAAAGTTAGATCATTTATTAATAAGAAATAAATGATTCAATTCATTTCTTTGTTGTTTTATGTTTGCGTGTTAGTTTGCCATTCAGCTTATTTATCTCCTGGGCAGACACAAACCAGTGAAAATAATCCGAAATAACAATCGATGCCGTAGAACTTCTCTATTTGATGGCAAAACATTGAAACGCAAGACGAATCAATCTGTCTGAAAGTTCCGGTATAGATAAATAGTCGATTAGAATCCACCGAGACATAGAAAAGAGATTTTTGACATTTACTAATTACCTATTATTAACAATATTCAAGAAGAAAAACATAACTTGTTGGCTACTTTCGTATTCAAAATATATCTTTAAGATATTCTATAACATATTTGGCATCTAGTTTCTTTATTCCTTCGTTTACATATACCAGAGAGAGAGAGAGAGAGAGAGAGAGGAGAAAAAGAAGAAGAAAGAAAAACTCACTTGAGTCAATTTGATTGAGCTTCAAAAATATGATCAATGCTTGAAGGACATACTATTCTCTATAGTTTAGTTCTCAACTCCATATAAATATACACAATTTTGTATTTTCAAAAGAAAAACATATTTGTTTTTTCCTCCTGCTTCTAAAATTTACCTTATTGATCAATGTAAGAAAATCAATGCGAATAGACCATAGAAATCTTCTATGATAAACTATCCATTGGGTCTAGTAAATATACGGATATGTTCAATTGAATTTTCTCTCGATTCTAGATGACTGAACCACAATAATCTATTTAGATTAATTCTCTATCAAGTAGGACGAGATGCGCATCAACTGATCTCTACATAGAAAAGCAATTCTGTTTTTTTTACTCCGCTATTCCTATCTTGGTTATAAAAAAAAGAAAGAATGTCACTGTTGACATGTGCGTGTGTCTTTCAATAGACTTTTACTAGCGCATTAATATTGAAACACATATTCAAATGAGCTCCACTCAAATCTAGATAAATATATACGTTGAAATTCTCTTAGAACTTATTCTTACCTGACTATAATGATACGGACACGTTTGATCAGGAGGAAAAAAAGTTGTCAATATAATTTGCATGTGCCATAGATTTCTTACTCTCATGAGGAAATGACTACAAGTAATGTAGAGCAGTGTGTGGAACTAGACTTTTCTTCCCCCTGAGATAGACAAAATAATTAGAGTTCTGGATAAACATTGTGAGATGTTCACTGCCGCAGAGAAACCTAAAATAGCGGAAATTGTCAGCAATAAATCGCAATAGAAATTTTTTCCTTCATTTTGTTGGCCTTGTAATCAAACTCATAGAATTGTGTGTAAGTGAATAAATAATATTTTTATTTCACCTGATTGAAAAGAGCACGAGAAAAAGAATGAAGTTTATTGCCTATCTTGAACGACTCCATTCCATCATTAATATATAATGTAATCAAGTGGATATACTTATATTCGTTCGTTAAACAACATATCATTTCCTCTCTTTCTCTCTCTCTCTATATATATATCGTTTTCTTTTTGAGAACAATCAGAACTTGGCTCTCGTCTAAGTGCATCTAATCGAGTGCATACACAAAAACTACGAAGAGCAACAATGAGATTTTTCTCCGGCAAATGGTTTTCGATTATCGAGTATTACTATTATTATCTATCTCTGAATTGCCGACAAGTATCAACCAACTCCATTGATGAGTGACGCCGATTATATAAAGAATTGAATTGATTTTGGTTTTTTAAATGAGATATGTTGGCATTCATTTATTATTGCTAATTAATGAAGAAAAAGAAAAAGCGTAAATACAATAAAAAAAAATACTAATAATTCAAATATTATTTAAAAAAAAAGAATGCTGACTAGAGCTTTCTATTCCGTGATGATTGAGCGAAGTAAATAGAGTACACTGTTCATTGTAATTAAATGTAAATAATAAAAAAGAAGAAGATATTTATAGATAGATCGCATTAGGCCCATACCTATTCAAGCAAAAATATTGATAATTTGATGTAATTATAGTTTTTAAAAGATCAACTTACTCGAATAGTAGTGTCCCAAGACCCAGTGCCCAATGCGGTTCCATCAGGCGATACTTGTAATGAACTTACACGATTTTCATGACCATAGAGAGTAACTACACGGGATCCTTTTAATGTATCCCAAACGTTAACACAATAATCGCTGTAACCAGCGAACAGAAGTCGACCTAGAAGAAATTGCGCGATTGTATAATCAATGATTGAAATAGTAAACTTCTATGTTATGTTTACCACTTAAAGAAAAATCCACGGCATTACAAGAAAATATAATTGATTCTTTTTTATATATGGCTACTTGTCGGTCAGCACGTAAATCGAATAGACGACACTAAAATTAATGTACATAGAAACATCGGAATTTTTTCGTTTTCGTTTTTCATTTTATTTACAGTGGCATCATCTGAAGCTGAAACAAATGCATCGCCACTTGGATAGAATCGAACAGCGTTGACATCGGATTCATGACCTTCAAATGTTTGAACATAGCTACCTGTTCGAATGTCCCAAACCATTGCAATATGATCAGCGCTCTAAAATAGAACGGCACCGAATTATAGATTACTCTTAAGAAGAAAAATCAATCGATCCTACAGCTGATACAAATATATTTCCAGCTTCCGATGGTGAGACATCAATACCCATGACATCAGCTTGATGACCTTGAAATGTTTGTATCGGTGTACTACTTTCAACATCCCATAATTTAGCTGTACTATCACCACTAGCTGTTAATAGCTAATAGATAAAGAGAAGAAAATTTTTTTTTTCTTTCAATTAAAATTGAATATTAATTGCCTGTTGGTCTGAATGCATAAATTTACAAGCTGATATATAATTTGCATGTGTAGCAACAACTTTTTTGTTTTTACTGACATCATCATCCATATGTAATGAATATAATGTTAATTTGTTATCGAGTCCTCTGCAAATGAAAAGAAATCTATTTATTCAATGTTTGGTTTCTGTAATATTATTTACCCGCACGCAACAGCCATAGCTGATGGTGAATATGCACAAGCTAATACCCATGTTGTTGACATTGTAATAACGTGCTTTAGAATAAAAATATGAAAAATTTAAAACAGCGAAAAACAAAATTTACTTCTTTATTAGTTGTGAATGCATCCCAAAGTATCAACTTTCCATCTTGTGATGTACTAACCATATGCCGTTTGTCATATGACCAATCGATTGCTAAAACTTTTCCCTGGTGACCTTTTAAAATTCGTCGAGATTTCGTTGAAAACGGTGGCAGGGGATCTAGTTTTTCAGCAACAATTGTTACTAAGAAGAAAAAAATATTTAATTAAGTAACTGCGGAATTAATTAGGAGATAAAAATCAATCTTGGCATACATTCCATGTCATTGAATTTCGCACGTTCTTCTTCGAGACGAGTTTTTAATATTTCAGCTTCACGAACGAGATCATCGAGGGATTCGGCGATAGCAGACATCGTTCTATTATTCTGGAAAATCACAAAATAAATGAGAAACAACAACTCATCCATAGTTTATTCTATGGAATATCTCCTCGTTGCTAAGTATGGTGGTAGTAGAAGGAATCATCAGTGAAGTACTTCTTTGAAAGAAGAGAATCAATAGAAGAACATTTAATGGAAGACGCCTATTCACAGCTATTTGAGATCATATGCGTAAAGCATAAACGATATAGTTGAGAGCTCAGCAAAGTTGTTGTCAAATACGCTGCAATCAGTCAAGCTAATCTACTCATCAATTTTCTCCTAATCGTTATTTAATTTTAGCTGTAAACTACACTAATATCTCCGTATCGAGAGTAGCAGCGAATGAGATGCATGTGAAACAGAACAATATTATATTTTTGTTTATTTTTCTCATATGCTCATTATGATTCAATGAATTATTTATGCACGATGAAATAATAAGAATAAGAATATTGAAAAATGAAATTGTTCTGATAGCGTTACAAAGCAAAAAATAGTTAGTAAGATTTAAAAATAAATGTTGCATGCAACGATTGATTTTATTTTATTTTCCGGAAAACACAAATCAAACGAAACTTTCGATAAAACTTCTAACTCATATTTTATAAGTTATCTACAATCACGATTTCCGTTCACTAACGTATATTTCCCATACTAGATAGAAAACTTGTAAAAACTAGTATTCATTGATTTTTACTGAAATCTGATTTTATCTTATGTCGCAAAAACTGTTCGCTTAATTCAGACTTGTATTTTTCTGTGTCGTTCTACATAAATATTTTCAGCACCAAAAAAAGATTCTTTGAACTATATGAGATTATAATATTAAGCGATCGCTATTAACATTTCTGTCGTATTCAAGCTCGTCTCTAGGTCCGCACTAGTAACATTACTTGTTGATAGTATTCACTCGATGTACGCTCTGACGTTGATTGAAGATGTCGCTGGAAAATAAATTAGCTAAACTGATAAATTAACAGCGACTATGGCAGCGCCGTCTAACATGATATATTATGACATATTAAAATCGGCAATAACGTCAAACATTATAAAAAATGACGGGGTTGCAGAACAGTAAATGTTATACGAAAGATGAACGAGTTTAAGACTACGACGAAGAATACTATTGGATTTTTAACAAAACAAAAACTACATTTATTCATTCAAGCTTTTGACAGAACATATCTATCATTGTGAAATCTAACAATAGAAAGAGTAAAAATAAAACACCATGTTTATATTCCCGACTTATAACATACATGAAATTGTCTATTAACTAATTAGTTTGTTCTTTTGACGTACATTCAAAAAATGATGAACGTAAATGGTATCTTTTTGCTTTTTATTGTTATACCTGATAGTGACAGATGCGTTATGTCGACCGATTGAATAAATAAATGTAATTTTTATGAACAATTTAATCATATTCGTCGGAAGTGTCTTATACTCATTGATCTTTCGGAGATAATAATGCGAAGTTAATATAGTAAAGCTAATCAAGAAGAAGATACTGAGAAATAGAGACTAAAAAAGGAAGCAAACCGATTGAGCCGAGGATTTTTATGAATGTGGAACGATCCGAAGCATTGCATATAAAATAGGCATGTATATATCACTGTAGTCTTACTCCTACTTACAGTTCCGATGTTTTTGAACACTTATTTCTTTCTTAACATCATAAAATGCACGAGCTTCTCACATCTTTGTTCGAATGAGGAGTATTATTATCATCATCTTAAACAATACGTTTCTCACGAAAAGATCCTATATTTAGTGCAGATACATTTTACAAGAACATCGCAAGGCAATGCGTAAAGCTACCGGCTCGAAAGAAATATTGAGCCAACAGTATAAAAAAAAAGAAATGTTGAAAAGTAAGAATATCGCAGTAGAATTTATAAGCCTACTGCCTTGTATGAGCGAAGAAGCCTGAACCGACAACTAATTTTTAATCTTTGACTCGCTCGACACCAAGAAAAAAAAGAAATTCTTCTTCGTCAAACCGACATCTCGCTTACGTTCATCGCTTGATTTCCGTCTACTATTGATAGATACAGGTAGAAGAAAAACGAACAAGTATGGTGTTAGTTAGAGTACATCCAGTTTATCGTTTCGATCGAACACGATACAAAAAAATACCGATAGTTTCCTGATCCATCTTCGTTTATGTCCTTTCAATGCATTCTTTTCCAAACCTCGAGCTCAGAGGTCCCTTCTATACGTCCGTTCTTGTACGTTCTTTTCGACGTTCTTTCCTATACGTCTTATTTTGAACTAGGAATCTGCCAGCTTCAGCTCTCGTTCACAGCAGCTGACCAAAAGCTGAGCTTCCAGCTGCTGAATTTGTCTCATTCATAGCTAGAAGCATATCTGTAATGGTTTTGAGTTACTTGTAGTTTATTCTTTCATATATTATGGAAGGATTACAATGAAAAAGGAAGGAAAAGAAGCTTGAGTAAAGAATGACTGATGAACAACAATTGAACAAGAGTATTTATATGTGTAAGCGAAAGAGAGAGAAAGAGAATAATGATAACGAGAGGCACTACTCCCAGCAATGAGTGTGTAACAAATGAATCCATCGCAATATCTCAACATGGGACTCTCTTCCTAACGGAGACTGCTAGCATCCCAGGGTAGCTTCTGATTCTTGGTGAAACCACTTCAGTTGTTGGAAGCTGGGTATATGATGCTTATGCTGTACTTCCTGTTTAGAGCTACCAGAGAATGCAATTACGATAGACTTGACTGTGCACACAGAGACGAAAACGGGTCGCGACTCTTCTGGGAACGTTGCACGCTCCACGCCGCGACACAGATATAAAGGTGAGTTATGTAACTGAATGTTTCTTGGATTTTCAACTAATCGAATTCAAAATTCAAGTTTTACATGTTTGATAGATTATGGTGCTTTAAATGGAAGTATGAAAAGAGATGTAAAAAAAGAAGTAGATAAAAAATCTTGTGGCTATTTTATTTAACATTTAGCTGTACTTTTGATCTCCCAAAGACAAGGTTTGCTTTTTTTTTACTAACATTTCCCGAAGAAATCATAAAGCGGATGATATGACTAATCAATAGAATGCTGGTTCACCAACTATTTGATCGATGGAAAAAAAATCATCATTTCAAGCAAAGAAGAAAAAAGCACTCGAGCCAAAAATCAATGTCTCTCCGACACGACGGAACACTGTCGTCCTCAATAATAGGCGACAGTCATGCAGAAAAATGATTTTAAATAACGAAATTATGATAGAAAACCGTTTTGTCGCAGTTCTTTTAATATTTTCAATGTATGCATAAATGTCTTACATATTAGGATGTATCACGCTGTAGTTTATTGAGTCGAATGTCTATTTTCCGCTTGACACGATTACTTTCTTTTCAACCGATCAGACACTGGATTCACTCATGTTCGATGATGTTTTCTATGGCTCGCAAGTGTTCATTGTAGTGGAAGTGTGCAAGTCATCATATTGACAAACTAACAATATTAACAGAACTGAAGAATGCCTGAGACCTAAGCGGAAATAATAAAAGTGAAAATGACTATAAAATTAACCTCTTCATTCTTGGTGCCATCGGGCGCTATACTCTCATAACAATCGGCAGTGTATATACTACGCGCGCAAAAAAAGCTTCCTCGCCAAAAAAGAAATAAACTAATATATATATATTGATTCTATAAAATAGGTTAATGATAGAAAACAGATTTCTTCTTATCGAGCAAAACAAGAAATTCAACAGTCATTCTCAAAAAGCTTAAACTCGTATGCGAGATAAGGATTGACTTTTCTGGATTGCACATGAATGCAATGCTTTTGATTTCATTTTATATTAATTAGACGAAAGAAGTGAGCCCAATACTGTTGGATTTGAAGACGTAAAACGAGAATTTTTGTTCACAAAGAAAATCTAAGAGAAATGCTGGCCTTGATAGAAATTCTATTCTAGCTGTTGCTAACTTGACGTGCGCAAAGCTTTCTACTAAGCTAATGTAATTTGTAAATCTTTGCATATAATGTTGTTCAGGTATAATAGTATTATTATAATCTAAGCTTGTATACTCGGAAATCATCTAAAATTTGATTATCTCGGTAAAAGTGAATCGCTCTTGAAGATGATTTCAGAAGTTTCTTCATAAGAATAAAACCTTTCATCTTCTTGTTTTCCACCATCAGAAAAAACAATAGCTAATTTAATTGAAGTACGATGGAAATAATTGGATCATTTACAGGTAATCTACGAGGCATGTTGTTAGGATGATCAAAAAGAAGCCGAGAAAACGCCTCTGCACCAAATAGAAAAGCTATTTATAAAAATTACACTGCGCAAATAGCGTTAAGTGATACCAGTCGGGTTAGTCTTAACTTGTTCCCTTTTTAATTGAACCGAACAGGTCCCCAAAAATTCGATTCCGAATTCGTCCCCACTCTATTTAACATTGAAATGTTCATTCTTCGCTCTGTCTATATACACAGCTAGTGGCAATGACAATCGGATTCATTTCTTCTGGTATAATCCAGCGGCCTATAAGAAAGATGCATGTAATGGCTGTCTACGGTTGACTGATCGATATCTTTTATTTGTAAGCACATTGAAATATGCTCAATTTTACTCCAACGGAACCAACAGGAAGAAAGAAGAAAGAATACCCAAATACCTTTCGGTGTAGGGTGAGACAAAAAAACAAAAATAAAAATAAAAATAAAGTTAGTATTTTTTTGGTTGTTGGTCAGTCAGATCACATCTTGCCACTCTTTCAAGGTTTTCCATCAGATTGCCATCTTCCAAATGAATTGGGTTTAAATAGTAATCATCATAACACCGAGAAAGAAAGTCAGGACTTTGCTTTCATTTCACTTCTTCCATATTTTGATGTTGTTCTTCTTACACCAATGAGTTGCACACACTCTTATATGACCAGTTATTCCTTGCGGTTTGAACTTTTTTTTGCAGTTGGAACAGTCATACCTGTTGTGGCAATCTTTTACCAACACTTCAGTCGCCTTTCGCTGAGGTTTTCCATGTGAAATGGCTAATTCTTCTGCTCTTCTTTTCTTTGAAATATCTTTGAACTCTTGTATAATTGACTTAATGTTTGAAGGAACAGGATTCATTGTGACATGCCTATTAATTATTTCACGCCATCTGTCTTTATTTTTGGTGTCTTTCCTCCAAATTTTTATGTCGAATTTCTCGATGTCATCCATGATCTTGTTTTCCCACCTTTTTCTTATTCCAGTATTTGTAGGACGTTTATCACCAGGGAAATATGAAAACATAATTTTCTTACCTAAATGTGGCCCATTTTCATTTTCCATACGATTTGCATGACCAAACCATCTTAATCGATTTCGTCGCATAAGATTTTCAATTGAAGGTTGGCCAGATAGTTGCATTATTGTTATATTTGCTACACGATCTCCCAGATTCAGACCAAGTATCGTTCTTAAACATTTCATATAGAAAGTGCTGATTCTATTTTCTTGAACAGCAGTCAGTGACCAAACTTCGCTACCAAACAATAGGACTGGCAGGACACACGCTCTAAAGATGCGAAGTTTAGCTTCTATTGATATCGTTTTTCTATGCCAAATAACATTTCTTAACATGTTGAACGCTGTTGCTGACTTTGTTAATCTTGATTCTATTTCTTTATCTGATCGTTGATCACGACAGACCCAACAACCTAGATAGGAGAACGAGTCCACTGTTTCAATTTTTTGATTTCTGATAGTAATTTCAATATCAGGGATATCAACTTCTTGGTTCTTCACAATTTTTCCATTGATACCTTCTTTGAACTGTTGCATTGACATAACGCAGGTCTTCTTAACACTCATAGTTAAGCCATATGCTTGAGTGACGTTTTCAAAGATCTCAATAAAAAGTTTTAGATCATCAAGAGTTTGTGTTAAAGCCGCCAAATCATCAGCATACATTAAAGCCAGAATATCAAAATTTTCGAATTTATCTCTAGCACCATGATAGAAATCAGTGCTTCCATAGGCAAACGTTACACCCTCGACGCTACAACCAACAGGAAAGGTGTTGAACTATAATGGTTTTCAATATACTCTCAAACATGAACGGAAAAGAGTAGTAGAATCGCGACATCGTTCACGAAATTGCACGAGTATATATTCTTTGTCTTGATATAATGCTGTGATTGCTCGACAATTTTTTAATTCTTTCTAATTGTTGCAAAAAATGTTTATATTCACTTGTTAATCTTACGATAAAAATTGTCTTTCACCTTTACTATAACTACATTAGAAATTCATATTTTTTGAAATCAAGCGCCAATTAATAGAATTGGGGACCAATTTAGAGTGGGACGAACCTGGTGGGGACGAATTCGGAATCAATTAATGGGGGACGAGTTGGTAGGGGACGTAATAGGGGACCAATCAGGGGTATGCCTACCAGTCTCAATACTGACACGAATTTTCTTGTTGATTTTACTCGTCGTAAGGTACGAAAATAAAAATTAATCATTACTTTTTTCTCAAAAAACATGTGACTAGTAAAATGAAAAATCAAAGTTCGAAGTTTAAAATGTGCAACTCTTTATACTATTTTAAGGGTAGCATAAGAAGTCATTTGCCTATGCTTAGTTTACTAAGTGTATCATTATAACTTGTGTTGCGTTATCTTTTTATTTTAAATCAAGCAAAAGAAACAAGAAGAAAATTGAGTCTACTGCTTTAAAAGAACATAGCGTTTTCCTAATCAGATGTAAAACACAAAAAAAAATGATGAACATATACAAAAAAAATGGCACAGCAATAAGATAAAACATCACATCAGCAAGAAAAAAAAGACCGTCTTTAAATAAATGAATGTAAGATTGGGAAGATGGAAAACGAAAATAAAGCTTCTTTATCATTGATTGGTTTCATCAGTTTTCGATGATTGATTGATTGACTTGTTCAGCGACTGGTGCTTTACTTTGAGAACTATCATCGACGGGAGTTGAATCTAGTTAAATGAATTCATAAATAATGATAGTGAACGATGGACTACTCAATATTACCTTCAGTTTTTCGTTTTTCACTGTTATGTTGAGGTTGGTTTTCTTTATTAGCTCCTCCGCGTTGTCGAAAACGACCACGACCACGACCACGTCCACCGCGACCTTTTGAAAAAGAAAGATTTTTTTTTTGTAAAAAAATTTTAATTCAAAAACTGAACTCACCACGACCGCCAAAACCTCGACTAGGATAACCATAATACATTCCATAATAATACGGAGTCATACCATACGGATCATAATAACCTAAACGTACTTATTTCAGAAAAAACAACTGAAGATTTTAATGAATGATCAGTTTACCATGTTCCATGAAATATCCATTTCCTGGTAGTCGACCACCACCACCACCACCACCACGTCGGCCACGTCGACCAGAAGTAGTACGTGTTTGTGGTTTTTCAACATCAGTAGTAGCATTATCTGTAGCGTCTTTTTTGTTTTGATGACTTTGTCGTCGATATCTTGGTGCTAAACGGCGAGCAACTTTATTAACCATAAAGCGAAGAACATTTTTCACGATGGTTTCATCGTCTTTAGGTTTTTTCACTTGGTCTGATTTCGGGTGTCCTTCTGTTTCAGTACCATTTTGACTAGCATTTGTATTTCGACGACGTCGTCTTTGGAAATGAAAAAAAAACAACATTATATAATAACGATTGAATAGAAGTCCTTACTGTCGGCTCGATTTCTTGTGTGGTTTATCAGCTGAACCTTGCGTATTTTCGTCTTTTTGTTGATCATCTGTAACAGCACTAAATATTCAAAAATCTATTATTGAAATTTTATTTAATACTTGAAATATATACTAATATATTTCAACACTCCTTTAGTTAAGTATTTTTCTTACCCATCTTTTTGTTGTTGTTCCGAGCTTGCATCATTTTCATTAGTTTCTCGTTTTGGTCTACGTTGCCGACGTTTTGGATTACGATGTTTGTTGGGATCAGCATTTTCGCCTGGCTGTTGTTCATTATTATTCGCAGTAGTGTTATTTTCATCACTGAAAATAAAAACTAATGATTATTCTTCTTTTCTTAATATAAAGAAAAACACAAACGTCTCATTCTTTGTTACTTGAGCGCGTCGTCTATCACGTCTTCCTCGACCACCACGAAAACCGCGGTTACCACGTACTGGATAATCATTCGTACCATCTTGTTCTGATAGATCACCATGATATGATGGACCATAATATCCACCTGGAGGGGGATACATTCCTTTAAGATAGCAAACAACAGTACATGAAAATTTTCGTTTGCAAAATCATTCTTACCATCAGCTCCATTCATATAGTTTGCATAATGCGAATAAGCTTGATAATAGTCACCATAGAATGGTATACCACGAGAAAAACGCCCTCGACCTTCAAAATAAAAATACGCAATACATTAGAGTATCAGTTTTGGAATTGTTCCTTTTAAATCTTCCTCTGGTTCGGATAGTAACAAACACAAATGTTTGTAAATAATTAAAAACTAATATGCTGGGGGCAATTGTAGGAAATAAAAATATGAAATACAATTTAGCTATGTTTGCTAATTACAGTCGCACTCATTTATTCTTCGATTAACATTGTTAGTTCGTATCTATTGAAAAATCAAAGCGTTATCATTGTATCTCTGATGTTTCATGGTTAATCATGTGATGAGCCGTTTCTAACGTGTTTATTATATTTGCAATGGCTCCTTGTTATGATATTTATTGCATCTAATTGACATAGAAAGGATCTATATATCTTTCGGCAGCTCGTTTAGATCATATTTCATAAAGTCTTACCGCGAAAACCTCCTCGTCGACCACCTCGGCCTATGAAAAAAATGGCATAGAATAATATTTATTTAGATTACGATGACCTTACCTCGCGTATTATTCACATGATTCTCTTGATCATCGGAATTATTCGATTTTTGGGTGTCATCATCATTGGATGGTCGAGTTTCATCTTCTCCTAAGTCTTGATTTTTTCGTTCACTACCTATATTGCGTGTTAACAAGAAGGAAATAATTTCGAAAAATAAATACAAACAAAAAAGCTTTCGAACCAGGTCGCTTTCGATAAAAGTTTCTTGGGCGTTGTTTTGGTAACTCTTGTACCTCTTGAACATCGTTGTTCACTTTGGTATTGTTAGTTTCTTGATTAGACATAAATAATAAAATCTACGAAAGAAATAATGTCTAATCAATAAATATGTAATTTGGCGCGGATGTATCGTATGCATATGTACATGTGGATACGTGTATAAAGAAAAAGTATACAGCATATGCATGAAAATAAACAGCGAGAATGTGCAATTATTGCCTCCACTTGTGTATTCTAGTACAAAACGTATGTGCACAACGAGCCGTATTGTTTTCTTTGCTCTTGCTTTCTTTCTGTATATATTCTCATAGAAAAACGTGGACTAAGTGGTAGAATGCTGCTATTCTTCTTCCTAAACGATGCATTTGGACGGAGAAAGAGAAAAGAAAATGAATAACTGGGCTCTCCTATTCTAGTCATTGTTGTCTGCCATTTTTAATGATAACTTTTTGTTAAGAAAAAACCCCATGCCTTTTCTACTCAGCAAATAAAACGATCGAGAGAAAAATAAGGCACTATTTTAAGATATACCGATATAAATATCTCAATCTCAAACCATTCATTTTCATCATATTCAGCATTTTCATGCAACCTCTAAAACGAAATGTGCAAAGGTTAATTTAATCTTATTAAAACTTTTGAATATACATGACCCTGATCATCAATGTTATTTACTTACATTGATCATTATTACAATATCGACTTAAATTATCAAGCATTATAGTATATCGAAATATTAAGTTCGAGAAAAGAAACGAAATTTGTTGAGCTCTTATTTTTACATAGATTGTAATTTTTGATGTCGAATACATATTAAAAATTATACTTAATTCATAAGTTTATAGCTCAATACAGTAATATAAACACTAATAGCAGTAATAGTTTGGTTTATGTATATTTACTAAAATAATGTTTCTTCTTTCTTTTATGATATCAGATAGAAAAAGAAAGACTTTTACTTCTCACATGTATCTATTATGTATAATTTTCCAAAAATTCGAAATTAATAATTTTAGAAAATGCTGGAAATTTCTCAAGAAAAAATATATTTGAAAATAAATGTACACAAAAAATAGGATTCCTATGTATTTCATTGCATGTATTATCTAACCAATCAAAATAGTGCTGATGTGTCATCATTCGTAGACCAAAATAGCTGCTGATTAGTCATCTAAGTCAATAAAAACGATATTGCGTTGCCTATAGAAAAAGGTATCAAGCTGGCTGGTCTATCAAATTTCTTATTTTCTTTACCCAGTTCTCTTTTCTCCCAGCAACAACAAAAACAACAACAACAACAACAAAACTCTATTGGCACTTTTAATAACGACGAAAATAATATTAACGATATGTCTTCGATGAATGATACAAGTTTACCAATAACCGGCATTTGTCTTGTTTCAAAACCGGATAATGTACCAACGGGTTATGAATGCATTCGAAAAGGTACTAATCAATTATAGTTGAAATAATGAGACAAATACTAACTGCGTAGCCAACCGTGTGTCTTACTCTAACATAGAAAGAGCGAAAGAAAAAAAAAACATAATAATTAGTGCTGTACTCTTCGAATTTATTCAAACGTAGCAGTACAACTGGATTGTCTTGCCACCCGCCATTTCCTAGCTACACAACTAGAAAGCATACTAAATGATCAGTTGTTTTTCGACTAATATATACATATTGAGATCTACTATCTAATTTAATGAAATATTTGCTAAGAACTATCGATTTCCGAGACAACTGAAAACTCAGAGATTTGACCTATATTTAACTTTATTAATAACTCTGAGAATTTCAAAGAAAAGCAACATAACCTTCTCGAGACATTTAACGAGATCCGATGGCTATATTTTTCTATGGTCAACAATTGTCGTTGTTTTTGTGTCGTCATAGTAGACTGAGATAGGCAAGTGATTTTACACTTCGACACATCAAATGCGTCTCAGAGAACTTAAATCATATAACACATTCGAACTATATTTTTAAAATTCTATCAATTTACTCACTAAAATTATTCTTCTAGTTTACGGTGAACCGTCACGTGATGCTGATCTAATGGCTGATTCTATGCTCGAACGTAAAGATCGTTTTCTTTGTATTACACGCATATTTCCATTAGCTGGTAATAAAGCATTTGTTTTGGAAGATGTTAAAATTATTAATGAACGTGATGTTCCACCGCAAAATTACACTCCATTAAATGAAACAATAGATACACGAGCTAAAGGTACATCTAAACGTACAATATGCGTTAGACTAGCTGAGCGACAAGCCGGTATGAAATGTGTATGTGACATTATATTTCTTTATCGTCAGAAGCGACCACCACAATTTTATACGTTAATTGGTGATATCAATGGTTTTCAAATGTGCACTAAAGAAGGAACTGTTCCACCTTTCCGAGCTATACCACCACCACCGTCGAATATTTATCCTAATCCGACACACCATCAGCCCTATGCTCAAACTCAGAGACAAAATTCTAAAGATGACTATGCAAATATGTATACATTAGGGAAGAAAAGTGAAGAAAAAGACATACTTGACGGTATTCCATTTACCATCAATCCAATATATTTAGCCGGAAATCGTAACAGTGCTAATGATTTATCTGGCTTAGATTCATATCGAATTCTTTCAGCTTATGACATTGAACAATATTATCCTTATGATTTTCATCTCGAACGCCATTCACTTTCTTCACTTTAAATATTTTTCAAACATCTTTTTTTGTTTTTTTCTTGATAAGTTATGCACATTTGAACTTTTTGTTTTGCATATATTTATTATCTTCTGAAGAATTTATTCTTCTCTAATGGGTGTCTTTCTTTTCTTTTATAAATCAAATTGTATGAATTCGATTGATGCATTTATTTTGTTTCTTAACATGAACGTACGCAATGTCTTTTTATTAATTTTGGTATTTAAAGTGAACGGTAAGTATTTTTACGAAAAGCAACTATGCCTAGAAGTACATAATGACTTACAAACATAGATGTATTAACAAGACGAGAAAAAAAAAGAGAATCTCAATATTTTTCATTTAATCATCTTCGGGTTTTTGCCAAAAATAAATAAGAACGAGCTTTTTTCGCTAATTAGAAGCAATCATCGTCTGCAGAGAACGGCCTAAAGGAAATGTTGAAGTATACAGGTGAATGTTTGAACCAGTGTCGGTCGTGACAAAGAAGACGTGAGATAGATTGCTATTATTAAAATTTGTTTGATAAACATACAACACAAAACAACACGAAAACATAAGGAGAACTATTTTTAAGCATTTTGAAATGGATTCATAAGACTTTGCAAAAATGTATCTTTCAATAAACCTTGAATAAATTCTTCTTTTGATATACATTGATCTTCGTTAATATCGAGCGTTTTCATTATTGTGTCAGCGCATTGCTCGTAGGAGTATTTATTTGATTTATTATCATTCATACCTAATAATTGAAACATAGCATGTAGGATAAATAAAATTTCAGCTCGATCAATCATTGAATTATGATCTAAATCATAAACATTGAATGCATATCGAAGTTTATGTTCTAACGGTGCTTCTGTCGTAGCCACGTATGCAATCAGAAACTAAATTAGAATAATATTTTTAATTAAAAGTATTTTGCACCGGTGTGAAAAAGACAAATTCTATTTCAGTAGATATTGATGTGGCGCAAGCCGCTAGTTCTTTTGAGTATCATCGTAAACTCGAAGTAATGCAAATATACGCAGAAAATAGGAAACTTCCTTGATGAATGAAGTTCTCGATTTGGCGGAAATGTTTCTGGAAGCTATTAGTATTGATTAGGTGTTTTTTTTCTTCTCCTAATAAAAACGGAATCGCTTTATTTTGCATGTAGTTAAATATTCACATATGTGATGTGCTTTATTCATCGAGCGAAATTATCAGATAGATATAATGGATTGATTTATTCATTCTCACTTGCCATCGGACGTGATCATTTATAGATCGATTATAAAAACTGAAAGCTATAGATGGAATTTTAAATACGTGAGGAAAACCATTGTCTATTATCAGCAACTAGAGATCTCGATAATACCTTGGGAAATTATAGTACAATATATCGGAAATAAGCGACTATGTTATTATCCGACCAAACGTACAGTTAATTATGTGGTGTGTTAAACATTCATAAAAGAGACGTTGACATAATATCTAATTTGGATCAAAAAATAGTTATATGCCTCAAAACAAGTAATTACACTTGATCTTTGATGCCTTGACTTCATAAATCATCTACGCCTTCATGCTCTCGACGTCATCTTAGATGCTGATTTATTGATATGTGCGAAAAAAGACATGCATTATTAGAAAATTTTGTTTTTTATGCATTCAGCTGTTTGCATTTTCTTTGTTACTCATAGAATAATTATAATATATTGTCATGAAATAAATAAAAGTCACAGCTACTAATTTGTATTACTCATTCGTATGGTTACTAAACTAATCTTAGGCTATCGGTAGAATAGCCGATTAATTTAATCACTCTAAGCATATACTAGAGAGATCAACACTAAATATAGATAGAAAATTACTTTGTTCGCAACTCTATTCTATAGCTTCCTCTAGGAGTTACTGATTAAAAAGAAACGCCAGGGATGCATTGTACCTCGATCAGACACGCCGTCGGAAGTATGCCTTGACACTTCTAAGTCGACTCAGAGCAAGCAAAATTTTTTATCCTTTTAGTCATAACAAGAATTAAATATTCTTAATTTAATCAGTGAGACCTATTGAAAGCGAATTCATTTTCTGTTCTCGTCGAGTTCTATCTATATCTAAGCAAGACATGGGTCCAAGAGCTTTCAATCACTCAAACGAGATTTCATCTTGATGCATCGTTGTTACATATAGTTCTGTTGACAAAATATTTTTCTGAATAATTCGATTGTGAGTTGAAACTGATTAAACTAATTTCTTTTCTTCGTCAACATATGAATACATCCAACTTCGAAAAATTTTACAGCGATCCTTCAACCCACTGGTACACAAAAAAGAATTGGTCTGTTTTTTCCTCTATTTCTAGAGCACTAGGACTTTGTTCGCCGGAGAGGACATGAATTTATCAAAAATCCGGAACTTGATTCTTGTTTTTGTCTATTCGATTTCCTGTGACCTAATCAAAACATGTTCAAAGTACGTTGCTAATCATACTAGTCTTTTCTGAACAGCAATTAAAATACCAAGATTTATCTATGATTGCTTATTGGCTGAAGTCAACTACAAATTGTCGACATACTCATTGCTCCAGTTTTTTTTCATATTCGAACTCTACAATTCTCTTTCTGTAGCTATTTCTATTTCCAAGTGATTATCCGTGTTAGACATGCTTTTTTTATATCTATTCATTTATTGTATTATAAAGACCTTGAGGAATTGTTTTCTTTTTAAATAGCTTTCATTTATTATTAAATTCCTGTTAGCAAAAATCCTACGAAAGGCTAAATCCACAAATACGCATTCATCGGTTTCCGTAGATATTAAAAGTTAGTTTTTAATTGCTTATGCGCACGAGTAAAAACAGTTTTGATAAATTGTTCTTCTAGAACAATTAACACTTATTATATTGATAAATCATGCGTAAACAATGTAGCATTTAGCAGTCTCATGAATAGTATAGTAAATCGTGAGAACATTTTAGTATGACCGTATAGCTCATCAGCTATTTTGTTCGAGCAAATAATGTCGCCCTTACTTTGCCTGACTAATCACAACAAAACTAATCGCTATTAGAGTAGATCATATCAGCAGAAAAAAATTAGTTTAGGAAATGTTTTCTTCTGAGAAAATTAAAAATGTCATATTATCATGAATAATCTATTGAGATTATTCTATATAGGGAAAGTAACGAATGACTTCTTACTTCAGAAAAACTAATACCATGATCACCATCTAGATCAAATGCACGAAAGACGTTTTCGCTTAAACGTTTAACATTTTCCGATGGCCGAAGGTCTTGATAAAATTTACAAAATTGTTCTTTATTCATTGTTCTCGAGCCTAGATCACATTGTTGCAGGAATCGTTCTTCCCACGCATTAATATCATCTCGTTTTAATTCCGTATATTTGCCAATCGATTCATAAACATTATCAGCAAGTCGGCTGTGTAGTGAGCCCATATTTTGATCTAAAAACAAAAGCAAGCAGCACGTTGCCTCTACTGATGATCAACAAAAATTATGTAAAGAAGAAACTTTTTTTCATTAAAAATATTGTTATCGTTCGTGTAGAAGACTATTTCATCACAAAAAAGATCATTTGCATATATATATATATATAATGTATGGTGAGAGTTGGTTAGTTTCTTTTTCCTTCTTTGCTGTGCCGACTATTTTTTTTCTAGTCATGAGAAAAAGTTTTCCGCGTGCCTTGAATTATTTTTTATTCTGTTCTTTTTCTCTGAGTTTGGTTAATAGAGAAACTACATAGCTAGTATATGGGAGTTTTGTCGCGCTAACCATTACACAAATGTAACCAACTCGTTATTAAAAAACACAAGAAAGAGAGAAAAGAAGTTCCATGATCAGAAAGAAATGACATGATCGATGAACAATATCTTTGCTTGACATGACATGCATTTAAAAAGCTTTAAGGTCTTTCAATAGATATTAAGTTTACATTCTCAAATAGTCGCCTTAAAACTAATGAGAATTTTTATGAATAGGTATTTATGTCATCAGAGTTTACGAAATATAATCTTTTGTGTATGCAATGCTTGTTGAACCTCCAGGCTGATTTAATTGCTACATATTCTTATGGCTGGAAACAAATTTCTAGAGTGATTCTCGTAATAGACTTTCAATGAAACATCGTATTCACAAAAAAGGCAAACTCTTCCATAAATTATTTATCGTTTACTTACTTAAAGTAATTAAATAGAAAATTGTGTGGCAAACATCCGTGGTAGGTTTGAACGTATTCAAACATAATTTTTCTTTGCATCTTTTATTCATGTTAATAAAGCGATAAGAAAAATATAAAAGTATATTGGTTAATTTTTAAAATTGAACGACAGTCGATAGACGAGAATTTTGATCATCTTTTATCTGTAATGACAACAAAAGTCCCATTCGTTCTGTTGAAGAAAAGTCTTTTATTTTTGCTTGTGACGAATTATTTTATTTTGAATTTAAACTTTTTGAAATATGACTTTCACAGAGGAGAAAAACAATACTATTTCGTTTATGGCAAGTACTTAATTCTCATAGGATTTAGCACAGGCTAGGCACCTAGGACATGCATGATAATTTTCTATTTGATGAAATATGGAACAAAAAATGCTCTCGAGACATCGATTAGATATGTGGGCATCAATAATTTATTTTTCTAGACTTATTGTTTCAAGAAAAAGAAAAGCTCAATGGTGTGCGGTACTTTTGCGAACGATTTGTTCTTTTTAATGATAGAAAAAAAAGATATTAAGCCGATGAACATAGTCAATTATAAAAAGTATTCTTTTTTTGTATTAACAATACAACAATGAACAAAAACAAAATATATCTTTTAAACCATAACAACTTTCTACAAAAAGAAAGAAAAAAAAAGTTTTGTTCTATAGTAACTAATACTTGAAGATTCTTCTCACTTTTGCTTGTCGTTTTCTTCATTACAATATCGACGAAGAGAATTCTTCTTCGATTCTATATCTTTGGTTAACTGATGAGACAAAAAGACATAACTATAATCATTCGACTAGAGTTTATGTACGTTTACACCACGAGCCGTTGAAATCGCTAGCATGTCATGATCGAAAAATACAGCACAAAATGGCGGCGGATTATACGCACTGGACGCTTTGATTTTTCCATCTTTCGATATATGAAATATGCGTGACGTATTTCGATCGACTACGAGCCATTGCTCATTAGATAGTAGACAACAGCGCGTACGTATATTTTGACTATATGCTATATTAAGTCTAAGAGACCAAAGTCGATCTAATGTAGCGGATGATCTCAATTCAATATGTATAGTTTTTTCTGATGGATTTTTAATCATCATAGCAAGTGTGCCATTATTATAAACAATCCCATTAATTACCTCATCACGCGTACATGTATCGGGCGATTGCCATTGCTTGACGAGTTCAATGGTTGGCACCAAACTAAATTCCATTATTGATGAACCCCACACTTTCGTTGATAAGAATAATGATGTTTCAGATGTTGTGCATGATAACCATTTACGCTTTTGAAGCGTTCGAACATTTTCAATAGACATTTGAGTTTCATCGACGAGAAAAACGTCACTACCATTTATGACAATAAAATGATTCAATGTTGACGACCAACACGTATCATAAATTGTTCCGTATATCCAAGAATTTTTTTTCACTATATTTAAATCTTGATCAACTAAACATAAATTTGGTTCTTGATGTATTAATAAATGATGATTGTTACATGCTAATGGTGCCCAATTTTCTCTTGGATAATTAATTGTTTTATAGATTGACGATAATGATGTTAGATCAAAACGACTGACATCTGAATTTTCAATATGTATTAAACTATCGTCCAGGACTAAAGCTTTTGTTTCAACTTGAAATGATGTTTGTTCAATTTTATTTATTTCACGTTCAAGATCACGTACAGTTACGGTTAACGAATCAATGTCTTTATGTGTTGCTTCTTGTTCGCTGATTAATTCCGACATTTTTTTTCGCATTCGACTTATTTCTTCACGTTTTCTTTCCATTTTTTTTGCAATACATCGATCTAATTCTCGACATTTTTGCTCAAAAAAATAATCAATCGTTTTGTGGCAATCAATACGCCATTGTTCAAGTTTTTTGTGCGAATCTCCAATGGCATTTTCAAGATTAAGCGATTTTAAGCGTTCGCCCAATGCATTAATTTCATCCGATAAGGGATTTAATTGTGAATTGAGAGATAAATCATGTTCAACCATATGTTCACGACAAAAATTTTGATTGCATCCATAACATAACGTTTGTGAAACACGTTTACATGTTGTAATCACGCATGGTTGAGCCATTTGTTGATTGTAAAAATTTGCTCCACTCTTTTTTTTGGAGCAATTTTGAAAGCGAAAACAGCTAAGATGAAGAATGAGATGAAAAAACACTGCCGGTACTCAATAAATAAATACAAGTGTTTGTTTGCATAAGATGCAAACCGTTGCTCGACACTCTTAAGTGATCACAGGCCAAATGTGTGTAGCGATGAACGAATGCCAAAATATTTTCTATGCATGGTCTGAGTAAGGACGAAAAAATAAAAAAGTGCAGTAACAAAAAAAATGGGCGGATAGAAATCTGTTAAACAACAACTATTTCTGTCAAAGTTCATTACGGCAAAACAGACGAGCTATTTGCCAGTAGAAAAGTGCTCTTGTGTAAAACATCGTTTGACTTTCGTACATAATTATTCTTCAAGAAATATTTACTAAAATCATTTTATAGTTTATTCTCGCGTCAACAGAAAAAGGAAAAAAACGATTTCTCCTATACGCTCATATTTATTGATTATTTATTGATGAAAAGTCTCGCCATTTCTATTTGTTTGGTTTGAAGAAAGAAACATATTCGGGAAAATTTGAATGTCATAAGAACTTTTGGCAACCATTAAAAATCCGTACATTGAACTTTAGACTATGCGACGATGAAAAACATCATTGAGCGTTTCGATAGATTTTAGTCGACGATCTTCGTACATGAAATATCATTGTTTTCGACTCTTTCATGCCTTGTGAAAAAGTCATATCAATACTTTGAGTCATAATTTATGCCACACGTACACATAACACTCTATGGTAATTTTTTTCTACAATCAATAAGAATTGAAAAATGTTGCATTCATATGTCGTCTTCGGTCTTCATTAGCGAACGATTTCTTTTTATTGTGCATGTGTTAACTTGAAATTTTGATAGGCATTTTAACCGATTTTTTTAAGAACATCTACATATTGTTTGACTATCTGTAGAAGTTTAATTTTATTTGTCTAGCATAATTTTTATCTTGTAAATTAGAATCAGAGTGACTTAAAAAAGAGTTTTTAAAATTCAACAAACATACACTAGTCATCGATCTGTATTTTATAAATTCTGAATTAAAAAGTTGCCTGTGGTTGTATTGGTTGAGAGCGCGCCAAGAAAAAAAATTCCTTTCCTATGCGCTTATTTTTGCTTTTAAAATCGATGCATCCTTCATCACAAAACGGATGTATGTGTATATATATATATATATTTGTTTTTTATGATGAAAAATCTAAAGTATTACGGTGGCTTTTTATTCGCCATTTCGAATGTCTTGTTTATATTCTTCGACCAAAAATGTTTTCTTTCACTCTACACTTCCATCGAAACTGAAAGTGGTAAAACCGTAAAAAGAAATTTTTGTGATGGCAACATTTCAAATCATGAAAATGCTCTAGAAGAAAGCAAGTCAAATTTCAAATGATGATCTGAACTATTTGGTCAATGTATTTTTAAATGAGAAAAACAAACGTTTTTTTCTTTTCGTCTGATGAATCAAGCCAGGATTACAATTCAGTGCGATTTTTGACTTGCTATTTGCTTGAGGCATTCTTTCAAAAAGTATTTTTTTCTCAAGATATACACTAGGTTGGTTAATTGCATTACTTCATCGAGAATCCAAGAATAATAATTGAATATATATATATATCTTGGTAAGAATATCTTTAGACTAGCTCACCGCTGTGTTTCTAGGCTTTCCTCGGAACAGTTTTCTGAAGAAAAAGTAGTTCTTAATGAGTAGAGTGAAAGTTCTCAAATGTTTTTGTTTGTGAGATGCTTGAATCACAACAGTGAAAAATACCACCAATTTTTCTTACCGTTTTAGTTTTTGAAGATGTCATGTTTCATGGAATTGGAATTCCTTTTACAAGTGCTATGTACTGTTTCGGGTGTGTAACATTGTTTTTGTTGAATAAAAATGGTGAGAGAAGGTCTCAGCTCTTACGTAGGCTTGAGTTCTTCTGTAATGTTTTACGTTCTAAAATATTTTATGAATTGTAAAATGTACTTATTATTCAGATCATATTTTTAACTAGGCGATAGCCACAAAAATGCTTTCTTTATGACAGGGAAGGATCTAGACTCAAGACGAACTTTATTTTCCCTATCTGTAGTAGTTTTAATGTTTAACTACTGTATGGGCGTATCGCAGTGGAAAACAAAGAAATACTGAGAAATCATTTTCATTCCTCGACGAGAATGAATTCGAATATTTTTTTCTTCTATAGGGATATTTAGATTGCATATCTCCCATAGTTCTTTTAAACACTCAACAAACACATAGTATTATTCATCCGATGAGTAGCGCAATGCCTACTAGTGTCAAACAGGGTTTTTTACTCATCATGTTTTAATCAATAAATCAATTTCTATAATGCCTTAGAATCAACGTTCCGGTAAGTAGTAATACACAATAGCATAATCAAGACTTCATGATAGACTTCATTCTGATACAATCTCTACAGGAAAGGCAGTAAGCAAAAATGACGAAAGAAAAACTGCTAAATTAATTCAAACTTAATTTTTTTTATTCTTATCGATTATTTACAAATACCAGAAGACAGGCACCATGAATTCTACGATACGGTGCACGCTAAATAATAAAAAAATAGACAAGAAATTTATGGTGTCAATCATTGGAATCCGTTGCTTGATCGTCTGATATCATAGCTGCGTTTGGCGCAAGTATTTTACGTAATAATTCATCTCGAACACATCCTTCAATAAATTCATTTCGAACAATAATATCTAGAAATACAGAAAAAAATGTACGAAATATTTTTATGGAAAATAAAAATTCCTCTACCATCTTTATCTTTATTTAAACGCTGCATTATTAGTTCAACACGTTTATTGGGCGATTTTTGGCCGATTCGATCTTCTTCATTTGCTAAATCGTACATAGCTTCAATTATTTTAACCATATCTTTGCGATTAATTTCTCCGTCTTTGTTTTGATCTAAATAAAAATTTTCCTTCATGTTTTTGAAATCACAAAAATTCGTTGTTTACCATAAATACTAAAAGCCAGATGTAATTTTTCTTCAAGATTCCCATGTTGAGAAACATCAACCGCTAATCTTAAAAATAAAAGTTTTTATAAAAATCAAAAATAATTAAGTTTCCTACAGAAATTCCGTAAAATCAATCCAATTGTTGTTGTCTGTATCGAATGCTTTGAACACAAAATTACAATACTTATCAGCTTTACCTTCTGGATAGAATCTCTATTACAAAAATAAGTCAATAGTTCATTTTCAACTGCACTTTGTTTTTATTAAATACGTACTCTATAGACACTAAGAAATTGTTTGCGGTCGAGTTTACCCATTGGACAATCTTTAAGAAAACCAGCGTGCCAGCTTAGAATTTCTTCTTCGGTATATTGTGTGCTGACTTTTAGCATTTGCAAATCTTCATCGGTTAAAATAGCGGGATCCTTTTTTTCTGTACCGTTCGTTTTATTTCCCATTGCATAAAAATAATCTGAAAATAGTTTCGAGTATTTTTTGAAACGTGATCGGAAATATATAGATTAAAGTTTGCGATTCACTCAGGCCACAGTAAGAGTTCGTTTTTATTTAGGGGTGCCACATTTAAATTTTGGAAACTAGTAGATAGGCATAGTTTTTGCCTTGGTTGCTATTATTTAAAGTCAAATTTGAGTATGTTTCCTGTTTTCTAAAGTTAAAGCTAGTCATTCTTTTACGAATTGTGCTATTAAATGTATTTTTACGAGTATCCTGGTATCCTGAAGAAGAAATATGGCGGATCCGGCATAATCTGTAGAGAAATTTTGACTATTATAAACAAATATTAGCCTAAAATACTAGGTTCTCCTCTCATTTAGTATTTACTACTGTTAAAGTCACGTATTTTCCTCATAGCAATGATGTGTGTCCAACCAGACAATTTATTAAATTTAAATTTAACTTGATAAAATTTAATTTAAAATAAATAAACTTCTCGCGAAGTTAAATTTAAATTAAATAAACTGTAAATTGACGCCCCTATTTTTATTCTAATTTTAGAGGATTTAAAAAAAAGAATAGAAGAAAAACATCGTATTGTGATTACCAAATACAGCTAAATCGTGTGGCAAGTTTCTATTACATGACAAAAGGGTTAACTACTGATGTCAGCGAAACAACAAATGACAGTTCAATGATTCGAAAGTAATGATGGAAATATTTTAACTTTTCCGCAATGAACCTAATAGCTAAGTGCTCTCGTTTTGACGTATCCGGTGAGTTTGTGAGAGTTCTATTTAAAGCCTCGTAAGCTCCAAGCGAATTCTCGGAGGTATGGTTGAATGACGTCTTTACTTATACTAGCTGATACGGAAAAGAGCGATACAAACCAAGCAGGTAGCTGAAATAGTTAAAGGTCAAATGTTTCTTAAAGTTCGGAAAATGATTTTCTTTTTAGATGGTTAAATCACGTTCGTTCTAAAATAATTTTTCTTAAATGCTGTGTAGTCCTGCTCGCTGATTAGTAAAGAAATATTCCTTTTTGATTGCTTGCACTCCATCATAGTGATTAATGAGGAACTATACTGCTCAATGTTGAATTCCAACAGTTACAATTGAATAGAAATCTGTTTATTTCACCAAGTTAATAATAAAATTCTGAGTATGTTTTGCTCAAATGATGGGATCGTGACAAATATATCATTATTATTTTAATGAATATGTTGCTACGTTTTCTACATTAAACTCATTCCTCACGAGTAGCGATGAATGCTCAAGTATAGAAAAAAGCCTAAAGTTGAAATGCGGTAAAAAAAACTACTAATAATTGCAATCTCAATATTTTCCTTTGGCCTGACCTTATTCTAGACTCAATCTTACTGAAGTCCGCAAACTACATTCCCTTACAAAAAATAGGACATGATCTCTCTAGTTCTTAATCGAATGAATCGATCTATTCAAGCATGAAAATTCTATTTCACACTTGAAATGTAAAACGAAAAAAAGTGGAATGGTAAGAAAGGTCGCTCGCAATACACACAGACGAAGAAGCTAAACTACAACCTAAAACATACATACGTATATTTATGGATGTACAGAAAGTATTAGAAAAGACATGAGTAAATAAAAGAAAAAATTGCTAAAACCTTGTGCATATCGATAGGAAGAAAAGAGTTGCGTACGGCATATCCATGCATAATCCAAGTTTAGTATATCTGTACGTACTATAGAAATATACTATTTAGGTTCTTGTCGATCTCATTTTCCCAAGAAGATCGACAGTAATACGATAGGCATACCTAAATGACGAAGCAAAAAGGATTGTATACCATTATTTGTCTATATAAAGAATTTATCGTCATCGAGCTAAAAACAGAGCATGCATATCAGTAGCTTTCTTCAGAATCAAAATGGCAACAGGAACGTATTGCGCCACTTTCTGAGAATATTCGATATTGCAATGCGCACAAAGACTTACTTTCTCTACCACCAGTTTTCTTTGTATAAAAAGAGACATTGTTTATTTTGATCAATGACAACGTTGCCTCATCGTCAACGCTTGTTGAATTGTTATTTTAATAAATACATGCTATCATGCACGTACGGTATATGCCGAAACATTCGCACAAGATAATTCAGTTGGCATTTATTATGATTGGCATTAATTGCAGATGACATTGTGAATCATCTGTTAATTGAGTATACTAATATTTGGCATGAAGCATACTTCTACTTGTCCTATCAAGACATTTCGATGGATACCTTTCTTAGATAAGACGATAATAAGAAAATAATAAGATTCTTTGCTCAGTGCAAATAGAAGGGACTAAGTGAGAATTGAACAGGGAGATCATCTAGGAATTGCATAGGAGAATAATTCGACAATAAACAATTGCAGCTACTGATCATTGTAGACAAACGAAAGAGAATAAACCCATGGGTGTGCGACTGCTGCTCTGGAAAAAGGTTCTTTTATCGACTGCAATTAGAAAATTTGTAAGTGAATTTTCATTTCATTGTGTACCAATAAATATGAAAAAAGTATTTTTAGAAAATTATATTTGTTCAATCTTGCTATTGTTATAAATAAAATGTGATCTGAAAAGCCATTATAAGACTTTCTTTAGACAATAGAATTAAAAATAGGAATATTTTATAAAACTCGACTACTTGGATTTTTACGATAAGTTCAATAAAAGAGAAAATAAAATGGAACAAATTTTAAAAAGAATATCTATAGATGTAATTATTTTTAGTCTCTTCGATGTTTCGTAAGCTGAATGTTTCACGCACTCGTTTCTTCTGCCTCATACGTCAGAAGCTTCTTAAGAAAATATTAGACACGATTTTGGATAGATGACTCTTTAGAATTAAAAAATAATGATTTTGATAATTGTAGTCTATCTTACAAAAGAAGAAATATTTTACGAGTACCTTCAAGTTTTGTCTTTTGTGATCCGCCTATCAGAAGAGATAATCACACGAAAAAGTGGGTGGTGCCTAAAATAATTTTCAGCTCAATCAAACATGAAATTTTACTGACGCGCGAGAGGAAATTGTTGCTATTTTTCGCCATCTCATAGAAAAAAACACAGTTTACTCATTAAATTGCACTTGTGCTAGAAATTCCGAGATAGGGTGCAATGAATAAGCGATTCAATCATAATTATTTTATAGTTTCAGTGAAGGATTCATTAACAACTGCAAAATTACTAAAAAAAAGGGTTCTGTAATATATATATATATCATATAATACTCATCTGTTTTTTTTCTCGTAGCGATTATTTGGGCGATTTCTTGATCGTTGCTTAAAAATGATAATAATAATTTAGATTGTACGCATAGAACCAATGTAAACCATAGAAATCTTATAGAAACTGGGAGGAAAATACTATTATTGTTAGACAAAACATGCGAATATTTTCTGAAGTTCGATCATTTTTCTTTTTCATTGCATCCTCATCATCATAAAACATTAATCATTTGAGTTAAAGAAGAATATCGAACATTCATTATGATAAGAATAACTTAGAATAGACGTCTCATTATGTTGTATTCATGGATAAATCTTTTATTTTGATAGAAAATGATTGAGCTTAGTCTATCTATTCACCATACAATACAACGACTGATTTTGTATATATTGTGAATTCTATAATTGTAAAAAGATCAGGAAATGTCGAAAGTATTACATTTCTCGATTGGATAATCTTACAGAAGTAAAATTTTAAGCGACAATTAAAAAGAAATACAAACGAGCTTAAGATCAACAATTTAATGTTGTCTTCTTTTTGATTTAATAGTATAGAATAAATATTGGTAAATCAATTTTTGACACCACATGATACGTTTGCACGCAAAATTTCATTCATAATTTGATATATATATGTAGCACAATCTTTGCTATTCCCTTGTGGAATTAATCAATCGAATCGAACTCACACTAATTCTGAATGTGTATTAAAAAGAAATAAGGCCGTTTTCTTCATAGATCATTCGAAACATGAGATATGAATCATGCGTTTCTCTCAGTTCTTTCTAGACCTCATAATTAGAATGAGAAGAAAAAACAGCAGTAGTGCACAATTTTCTTTTCCAGATCATTAATTTAGCACGTTGTAGCTGTTACCCAAAGATAATTGTTATATAGAAATACAGAATTGATTAATATTCTTCCTGTGTCAGAAAAAACATAATTGGTTCAGCAAGTACAAGACAACGTTTATTTTATTACCAAATGTTGATTAGTCTGTCACGTACAACTATAAAAATAAAAGGCTTTTTTTATTATAGATCTAGCTATATAAGAAGCAATTGTTTTCATTCTATAACTAAAGTTTAGAGTAATATTTTATCGAATTAGTTCCTTCCGTATGACTAATTTCAAAATCATGTAATACGAACAGCAACAGTTTGGCATACCAGCACGTGAATAGTATGTGGTACGATAATTACATAATTGGAAGAATCCAATTCAATATTGAAAGGAATGTTATTATATCGCCTCTGCTTTCATATTAGATAAAAACCCTACAGTAGAAGTATATTCAAAATAGTTTCATAGTTTACATTCAAACACGTCAAATTATAGCTGGTTAGATAAGCGAGAGAGAGAGAGAGAATATGGAATATTAATCTAGTACGGTTTACAGTATCAAGGATCAAATTTCACATATAGCATTGATGTTTTACTCATGTTCACCTATTAATGGGTGTAGTAAAGAGTATAAAGTTGTAGAATACAAAAATCTAATACAAATGTCCTTACATCGTATCTCTATGAGAACGACATCTATCGACCAGATCTATTCGATGTTTCTCGGGGACCAGTAAACTAAAACTTAATTGTACAATTGAAAAAAATTCGTTTTTGACAGCTGAAATTCTAATCAAAAAGTATATTTTAATATGGACACATAAAAAAATATTTGACAATTAGTTTCAGTATGACCAACATGCATACAAGTCGTCAATTAACATTTGCTGATGATAATAATGATAAAACATCTATATCTGTTACTATTTTAGAAGTGCTTTGATTTAATATCTAAATAAGCCGAAATCTATTTATACTTTTTTTTCTCTCTCTTTGTCTGAATAGACATTTGATACATCGGCATCCTATGGTCTCTATCTATGGCCGTGTTCACCTATACTTGCACAATATATTTGGTATAATCGAAATGATTTCATTGGCAAAAATATCCTTGAGGTGTTCTATTAGATATTAATTTTCGAATTTGTCCATCTCACAAGTAATGTGTTTTTTTATTTGTGAAGATTGGAGCAGGCACGTCACTACCCGGCTTAGTTGCAGCTAAAATTGGCGCACAAAACGTAATACTTTGTGACAATCCTAAAATTGATAAATGGCTGCCGTTAATACGTGAAACAATGAAACTCAATATGATGATAGCTGATCGTATTTGTATTGAATTTCTTGATTGGTACGATGAAGAAAGTATTGATGGAGTAATTAAAAAGTATTTTCCATCGGATGTTGACATAATCATTGGATCAGATATTTTCTTTGATAAGAAAGGTAGTAAAATAATAAATTTTCTTTCCTATTCTATTTGATTATATATTAATTTCAGATTTCGAGACAATATTAGCTTTACTTGATAAACTATTTACTTATAAGAATTCATCGTTAAAATTTATTGGAACTATAGAACGCCGAAGGTATACTACATAAATCTTTTAATCTCTCTTTCTATACGCTTTTCGTTATAGTCGAAGTACAATCTTGAAATTAAATCATCTTATTTATGCATGGAATATGACGCTCGATATTGTACCACTCAATTCTTTCAATGGTGATGCTATTCATCCAAATATTATAGCGGGACATGACATTGTTCTTTTTTCTATTGTAAAAACCACGCAAAAATGAGATGATCATCGTATCGAATAGGATGTTGTTCTTCATGTTGACAAAACAATGGTGTAAGATTATGTCTATTTGACAGAAGAAATAAAAGAAAACGAAGAATACGATAGTTCTATGTGCATTTTTACGAGTCGAACGGAGGCCGACAAACCGAAAGGAAAAGAACAAGATGTAGAAAAAAAAAGAGAAACGTCTATAGAACGGACGCAACAAACAGAAGAAGAATAAGAGAAATGTATGGTTCGATGTTTAGGCTCGATACTGATTGGTCGTCCCCTTTATGGCGATCAAGAAAATGAAGAATGCGTAGTAGAGACAGCTGATGATGAGACTGTTGTAGTTAATAAAACAGTACAGGCTGTAAGCTGCATTGTCAAAAAAGAACATGTTTTAACTTATTCATCTTCATTGTGTCAATACTTATTAGTACAATCATTGTGACGAATTAATAAGCGTCATTAATATCTTTTATATTTATTAATCGATTACATCTATTTTGATTTATTGAAAATTATATTATGTATCAATACTTTATTTTAATATTTATTTATTTAATTCCAAATATTAATTCCAAATGTATTTGGTACGAAGGTATACGTCCTGGCTTTAATGAACTTTATCTAAACGGTGAACCTAAACCATTACCACTCAATGAAATACATCTACTAAATGAAATGTGTCCGCATTTAACTAAACAGCAAGGTTAGTAATTGTTTTTCTTTCATAACGCATAGATTGTTATTTTGACTAATTATTTTCTAGGTGATTCACCGCTTTTATGTTGCGATGGTAAACAACTAGCTGAAATGCAAAAGAATAAAGATTTACTAGATAATCTCATTGGTCGCTGTCCATCATGTTACTATAATTTATTGCATATATTTTGTGAAATGACTTGCAGTCCTAATCAAGATCAATTTGTATGGCCGTTAGAAATTATAAATATAACTCGACCAAATGAAAGCGAAAATACGAATGAAACAGTGCCATCCGAAGAAAAAATACATGAAGGATGGGAATCAGTAGATTATGTTGATCCCGAAGAGGCAGAACAAAGTGAAACCAACGACAAGAAAGAGTTAGTAACATCAAAACCAATTGAAAAAGTTCCCGTTGTTAGAAAACTTCGATATTATGTTTTGGAAAAACAAGCAAGTGCTTTTATTGATTCTTGCTGGTAAATAATTTCCTATTTTGTTTTCTTCGGTTTCATCACGAAATACAATTTTCTTATTTTAAAGGAGTGTTCGTGTCAATTTTCAATATGCTATCGATCTTCTTTGTGGATCGATAAATCGTGCGTGCGACTACAAAAAACTTTTTAATTATATTGGCTTAGAAAGTTCGCAATCACCATTGAAGATTGAATTTGTTTTTGTTAACGGAAGTTCTTATGATCAAGAACTTAATCGAACATTCCATCCACCACAAGGATCTATGTTTAGCTGTGATCAGCCCGTTATTTTGCCACATATTTCAAGACAAAAATGCACTTGTATGGTATGTAACATATTTCTATTTCCTTTTCTTTTCTTTTGTCGATCTTGAAAATAATTCAAAAATCTGACAATACAAAAATTCAGATGAATATTTCATTTCATCGACGCATATGAAAACATGTTTGCAATTTGATCCGAATCGATTGCTCATGTAAGATGTCCATTATGTGAAAGACAACAGGCATTTTTTTATCTAATACGTGAGCATAACTGAGGAAATTCTATATATACATACTTGAAGCTGCGCAGTCCGGATTCGAGCTGTGGCATATAAATTCTAATAATAAAAGTATTTATTTAGATGCACGACAAACAAAAGAAAATATTGAATATGTTCGTGTTCTATTTATCGATGCAAATATTTTTCTGAATAGATTAATTAGAGATTCATAGAAAATATTTCTTTTGTTTTCCTGTTTTTTAGAGACATATAATCTCTTGATGAAAAGAATTGCATAGCGGAAAGTTTTCAACAGAGAGCTACATACACACGCCGTCAGTTCGAATCCTTTGCTCTATGCGCAAAAGATGAATCAGGATATCCGTGTGTCTACTTCAGGTGATTATCTGTTAAGTACGCTATTCACTGCGTGTACGGTGACATTTCTTTTTACTAAAATCCTTTTTCAAACATAGTCAACACGTTCTTTAAGAAACTGAATTTTCATAATGAAATACAATAATATTTGCTTATGGTCGATTATCTATGCGAATTAAGTCGATCGTATTTTTAAAAAGTTTTGGTATTAACAATTCAAAAAAAGCACGATTGCAAAGAAATGAAAAAAACACGACAATCAAAAGACGGTGTCCGCTTGTCTTTAGAAGAGAAAAACTAATGCTTGCGTTTTATGATTTCTAACGTACCAATCTCTGTTTCGAGAAGACTGTCAAAAGACAATTCAATGTTTAAATACATATTTGCGGCACATCATGAGGATGCATCATAATTAAATTTGTTCATAGACAGGTTCTAGTACTCTCATCGGAACTTCATTATGACAGAAACGATCAGTTTGATTAGGGAGTCACATTTGAAGATGTCCCTTTGCTAATTAAAGTCATAAATACATTTGGCATGTGCGTTGCGCGTACGCCTTGATTTTCATTACGATCATTTTCAGTGTATTAATAACAGGAAAAGGACTACGGATATGATTTAGAAATAGCCAAAAATGCTCGTAAATACTATCTTCTATTTTTCATAGGATTGTGCTGCCATGTGTCCGAAACAAAATAAAACTGAAAGTAAAATAATGCTTACATCTAAGAGTCCCTTTATAAATAAATTAAAATCGAAATTCGCTCAACTTCATCGTATAACCATTGCTGCTATAATATTATATATAATTTTTGTGATCGTGTTTGTTATTGTTAATGCCTTTATATGTGTTTGGAATTTAAAAATCAATCGAAAAAAATATATCCTTACAAGTAAGAATTTTAATCATGTTAATAAATATTTCCAATCGTTTTTTTTTTGTTTCTTCTAAGATGGTAAATCAATAGTAAATCAAGAAAAAATGGATCATTCGAATGAACATCATCGCGTACCGTTATCTGTACAAGATGAGGATGAATCGGAAACATCATTTGATGATGAGCAAATTGGTATATTAGATCGTTTTGGTGTTAAAATTGATGAAAATCTTCATAAAATATTTACTGGGTATGTAGTTATGTTTTTTTTTTTAAGCTATATTTTTACCCCTATAAAACTATCGTTTAGTATTGGCCGATTCTGTGCTTATAATCCTAAATATACGATTATCCCTGTAATGACAATTATATTTGTTTTATGCTATGGTAGTCGTTATTATACCGTAACGACCGACCCAGTTGATCTGTGGGTAGCATCAAATTCTCGTGCACGTCTAGAAAAAGCTTATTTCGATGAAAAATTCGGGTAAATTATTTTGCATATTCTCAATTAAAAAATTGATCATTTTACTTTAGGCCATTCTATCGCATTGTTCATTTGATTCTTGTCCCGAAAAACAATACTCAAGTTAATCTTGAATTTAAAAACTCATTAGATGGCTTAGAAAAACATACATTCGGACCTGTTTTTGGACGAGAATTTCTTATCGATGCATTACGTTTACAATTATTTATTGAAAATTTCAATGTAACATCAAAATCAGGCGAAGCCGTTTATTTAAATACGACCTGTTTCAAGCCACTTGAGCCCGACAATAATAATTGTGCTATCATATCATTGTTTCAATATCATCAAAATAATTTAACATTTCTTTTAAATGAAACATACTATCCAACACAATATCTCGAATGTATGCAATCGCCTTTAACGCAACAAACCAAATCTTTTCGACGTACATGCATGGCTGAATATGGTGGTCCCATTGATCCCTATATGGTCTTGGGAGCTTTTCCAACACATGACAATGTACCTGATTATACAAAAGCAGCAGCACTTATTATTACAATTACCATAAATAATAAACGTCATCATGAAGAACTTGAGAATGCACTTCTATGGGAAAAATATTTTCTTCAATATATGAAGACTTACAGTTCTGAATGGTTCGATGTTAAATATCGTGCTGAAAGATCGATTGAAGATGAAATTGAACGTGAATCAAAATCAGATATTAAAACAGTTCTTATATCATATATGATTATGTTTTTATATATCGCAATTGCATTGGGCCGTATACGAAGTGTAAAATACGTTTTAGTTGACATGAAGGTATCATTGGGTATTGCCGGTGTCGTGCTAGTGGCACTAAGTGTTTGGGCTAGTATTGGCATTTTTTCTTATATGCGTATACCAACAACATTAATTATATTTGAAGTTATACCATTTCTTGTATTAGCTGTTGGTGTTGGTAAGTGTAAATTACTCATTTTTTTCTTACTGAAAAATAGTTTTTTCTCTGTGCTGATCGTATCTAAACTATGAACCCTATCATAAATATGTACCCCTTCTAAAAATTCAAGGTCAATACTCTACGGAGAAAGGAACATTCGTCACTCGTACACTTATGAAAATTTTCTTATTTTGTCCTTTTTGCATTTATCATGTCTTTTACAACGGATGAAAATGTTGACAGAAGTCTATTATCTTTCAAATGGTTTTCTTATCTCCTTATTTTGTGAGTGTTTCGATCGATCAAAGATAAATATTATCGAGCTTAATGTACTCGCTATCGCATCGGGCCTCTTGTTTTGTTTTCTTGTCTACGGACATAAGTAAAAATTGAAATATTTTGTTGTTTTCCAATAGATAATATATTTATCTTAACTCAATCCATTCAACGTGATCGTCGTTTAATGAATGAAGATGTCGAATCTCAAATTGGCCGCATAGTTGGTCGTGTTGGTCCAGCGATGTTATTAACTTCTGTATCTGAAAGTATCGCATTTTTTCTTGGTGCTTTAACACCAATGCCTGCTGTACGACTATTCAGTTTATATGCAGGAATGTCTGTTTTAATTGATTTTTTTCTTCAAATAACCATATTTATCTCATTAATCACCATGGATCAAAAGCGTACACTTAAAAATCGTTTTGATATATTTTGTTGTTTTCAAATTTTCAACACAGACAATGATGGCCATTATCGTTGGAGATGGTTTCGTAAGAATTCAGTCAATACAAATAGCAGTTCACTTGAAACATCAGATACAACAGAAACTGAAACCAACGAAGATAATTCAAATGAAAACGATGGACTTTTATATCGAATATTTAAAGATTATTATGCACCATTTGTTATGAATGATTATGTTCGACCCATTGTTATATTCGTATTTTTTACATGGTTAGCTGCAAGTATCGCGTTAATACCATACGTTAAAATAGGCTTAGAACAAAATATAACGATGCCAAAAGATTCCTATATGCTTGATTATTTTACGGCATTGAAGCAATATTTAGCTGTTGGACCACCGGTCTATTTTATTATTAAACCAGGTACAATAAATTCAGTAAATGTAAATCAAAACAAATAACAAGTTGATGGACTTGTTTTTGTATACTTTGATATGCATTAGAGGAGCCTAATAGAAAGAATAATATATCCAAAGCAAAATTAGATTATTATTGTCAAATATCATAAATAAATAGTTTGTATGGAAATGCAATTATGAATAGACTCAAGTGTTTATTTGTGTTTTATGCTATCAGATGAAATAGGTTTAAATAGTACATCGAAAGTTGGAATTTCATAGTAAAATAGACTTGATTTTCCATATCTTATTCGCGTTTTTGATAGATAATTGGCGCTTTCTTTAGCTTGACATTAATGGTTTCATATTGTATATAGAAGACTAGAGAGGTAAACAAATCCATCGAGACATTTCTCTATTAATACTTTGATTTAGATGCCTAGATGTAAAACTATTCTCGGGTCAAAACGCTCCACTGCTCACATTATTATTATTACTATTGTTGCCATCATGATCTGAATAAAGGAATAATAAAATTTGACAGTAATCGAGTTTTTATTTCGATTGTGAATACCTCCGAAGATACTTTCTATGTGCTGTATAACAATATAATTATTTTTTTGTTTGTTTAAAGGCGTTAATTATGCTAATATCAATGCAAGTAATCTGATATGTTCAAGTGCTGGTTGTTCGTCACAGTCTGTAGCCAATCAATTGAGTATGGCATCCTATTATCCAGATCAAACTCGAATAGCACAAATAGGTACAACATGGCTCGATGATTATTACGATTGGCTACGCCATCGTGGTGCAACGCCGTGCTGTCGTTTATATGAAAATACGAAAAAGTTTTGTTCAACAAATTCACCGTCGCACAGAAATTGCCATGTTTGTACAAGTAGCACGGCACGAGAAAATATCAGTCAGAATGAATTCCGAGAATTTTTACCGTTCTTCTTAAAAGACAATCCAAACTTAAAATGTGCTAAAGGTGGCCATGCAGCACATGGTAGTAGCGTAAAACTTTATGAAACAAACAATTCTGTTGAAGCAAGTCTTATAATGGGTTATCATAGTCTTCTAATCAGTTCAAACGATTTTATTGATGCTATTCAGCAAGCGTATATTTTAACTGACAATATAACCAATACGTTGAGAGCTGCAGGCTATGATGTTGAAGTCTTTCCATACAGGTAAAAATCGAAAACACTCAAGAAATTATTTTCATCTTTTTATTCTTTTAGCATATTCTATGTTTTCTACGAGCAATATTTAACTATATGGCATGACGCGTTTATGAATTTAGCTATATCAGCCACATCTATTTTTATTGTTACTTTTATTTTACTCGGCTTGGATATTATTTCTGCATTTATTATAACATTAACCATAACAATGTAAGGAAAAGAAAATTAAACAATTTTTTGTTCATGTTTTAAATCAATTTTGTTTCAGGATAACTTGTGATATGATTGGAATGATGTATTTATGGAATATCGAATTGAATGCAATATCACTTGTTAATCTTGTGATGTCCGTTGGCATATCTCTTGAATTCTGTGCTCATATATGTCGTGATTTTGTTTTGTCGCCTCAACGATCACGATTGAAACGTGCTGAACATGCACTTGCTGATATGGGCAGTTCCGTAAGTGATTGAAGATAATTATTTTTGCTTTTTCAAAAATAAAATTCTCTCGTGTTGTCTGTTGCAGGTATTTAGCGGAATAACGTTAACGAAAATCGGAGGCATTGTCGTGCTTGGCTTTTCACATTCTCAACTTTTTCATATATTTTACTTTCGCATGTTTATTTGCATTGTTTCATTTGGTGCTGTACACGGTCTGATCTTTTTACCAGTATTACTCAGTTATATCGGTACGAAAAATATTTTTGCTATTCGATTTAACAATTATTTTGTTTTTGTATTTTAAAGGCCCAAGTCCTAATCGCATGCGCATATCAAGAGCTGAATCAGTACAATTACAAAAACAAATCTCGTTAGCTGCAACATCGTAATAGAAAAACAAGAGACACATCGCTCAGGATAGATTATTATTAGTTTAAAAAGAATCGCAGGTGTAAATTGCGCAGTGAAGATATATTTTTTTTAATCTCATATTAATCAGCGAAAATCTTCCCTAAGAAGCCTATTTCTTTCTTCTTCTTCTTGTTACAATGTCTTCTATTGGCGTTAGCTAGTTACCGTCCATATTGTCTGTCATTCGCTGATAATGTTCTTAAACACATCAAACATGATTTTTTGTCTCTTTCTATTATTAAATCACGATCCAAATGATGTGTAAGTGCGCGTATGTAAAAAGATAAGTCAGATGTTGATATTTTTTTCTCTTGCTTTTCTAAAGTTGTTTGATCTGTTTTCTTGTCTTATTGTTCTCGTTGCCTAAAGTCTGTTTATATTTTTTAGCGCTTTTCTCTTATTTCCGTTTACTTTTTTCTCTCCTTGTTATTAATCACATACATCTTGCTTCAGCACACAGAAAAAAGAATAAAAGATATACGCAAGGGTTATGCATCATTGTTATTTCTTTTTTTTCCTATATAAATTGAAAATTGCGATCGAATAAGATAAACAAAACAATTAGTTTCAACCTATTGATCTGGATTTCGAGGGACTTCTATTCATTCGACTAATTTACTGAGATACATAAATTATCTGATCGATGAAGCTGAAGACAAATGACAACATATACGTTGTTTCTGTCTGATTAATTGTAGTTATCCATACGAATAACAAACGAAAAAATGCAAAGTATGTTTTTCTCCTTCAAAATCTTAACAACAAAAATAATTTAAAGTCGTTCAGTGACTTATTGCCATAAACGACGAGAGTGAGGTTCATCCGGATTGATAACTGCGTTCAGCATGAATAAATGTAATCGTGTCGCAAATCTGGTTTGATTTTTCATAAAAAACCTATTGGATCAACTATAACTTTCAATTAATGGCTATCGTCGTTTGCATGAGTTGTTTTAGTATCCGTTAATTGCATGCAGTGGTTTTCGTTGGGAAGCGTGTTGTAGGAAACGCAAGGAGGAAACAGCAGACTCCAACTCCTCGGAGCCAAGTGGAGTCATCCGGAATCACATGGAGCCAGCTGGTTGCATAGAATCACATAGAATCCCAGGGAGTCACAGTAAGTATCGCAAAATCTCTTCTGACCTCGAGAAAACCATTATAGAAATGGGAATTCAACTTCCGGGTACTGAGTCATACTGTCAAGAGGGAAGTGAAAGACTCCATCTTCTTCGAGTCAAGTGGAGTCAGATGGAGTTATGGAGTCTGCTGTTTCCCCCTTGGTGATGGAGCCCTCTATTTTTCTCTACCTACTGATATCAATCATATATCTAGTCCCGTTCAAACACTTGCTATTGTTTAACTTTTTTCTCGCTGCTTTGTCGACTGTTATCGGCTTCAGTTCTTGCTAATTATTGTTAAAGCGTATGTTATTGAACCTGTTAATAAAGAAGTGAACGTACACCTTAGCACACGTTCATTTATTGATTTCATTTTAGATTTATAGAATGTTTAACTTTTACTCGAATCGAAGGTTTTCGGCTGCTGATATGAAAACAACTAATTTTCAACAAAATCGATCAATATCGGTACTCGATGAAGTGAACCAATACTTCTGGTGTAAAGATAAAGAAACAAAAAAAGTTCGAAAAGATGCTGAGACATTACAAGAGATAAAAGATTAAGATTACTAAAAAAGATATTCTATTAGTACCATAATATATTGGAACATTAACATTTTATTGTCGTTTTTCAAACATAGAATAGAGATATTTGTGTATATTTCCAATGGAAAAAAATCTACTTTTATTATTTCATACTTTCAAAATTGAAGTATTGCACGTTATCCTTTGTTTTTTTCTTCGCTTGAATTTTTTTTATTTTCCAAAGTGAAATTTTTAATCGATAGCATAATTCATTATTTGTTTGAATACCAACCAGAAAAAGAACAACGATGAATCTTTTTTGTTTTCTTTTGATTTCATTCAATGATAAACCAATCAAGATATTTATTATCATTATAACATATGTAAATTTTTCTGGGAGCTAAACGAACACGAACACAATTCAATGATGAATTTTGTGTTGAACTTCGACCAGTTTCATTTCATGACAAGAATGTAGAACATCAACTATGGCACCAATGTGGTGATATAGAAGAATAGCAACGTGATTGTCTCGCTAAGGTTGTATTATTAATTTTTTCCCCGTGTCAGATATATATATATATATATATATATATAGGCAAGAGTAAGACCTATCGAAGATTATTGAAATGGAGATTATACGAAAATGAAGACAACGGAGTAAACGAATCAAAGTAAATGTCGATAGTCTCAATAGATCAATATGCAGTTTAGTTCGAGTCCTTTAATAATGTTAAAAGACATTTAATTTATAATACATTATTCACTTAATAGATATCGTGAAGTTTTGAGTGTATATTTATGAAATTAAGATTAGTGGACATATTTTCACAATGATCGATTATCTAATTCTAACCACAATAATTTATTAAAAATGAAACGATGAAGAATTTTTATCATTTCTTTTTTATTTGAATCGATAGGCCATAAAATTCACTTTAGAAAACAGTCTCATCACTTTTAATTGTTGTTTTGTTTTATTTTATTTTCTACAATCATCGTATGAACGAATTACTTTATTTATATATGTTTATTATCATGTAGTCTATGCTGTAGATGAACTATAAATATGGTAGATAGAAAATGAACTTGATTCTCAAGATAACAATTGTTTTGACTAACATTAGAAATTACTTAAAGTTTGAGTAAGAGCTTTTGATATTTTCATATATTACTTGTAATATTCCTAATAAAAACAATGACGAAAGACAAGAAATCGACTGAAAATATATGTGGGTCACATTTAGTTTTCAGCTACCAGGTTAGATTCTTAATAGCGAAAATGATTTTTTTCTTCTTAGATATTTAAAATCATTCTATTGTTATAGACTAAACAATGTTTATAATGTGTTAAAAAAGAAATAGCTATTCTACTGACTATTCGTTTTCTTTTTTCTAATGATAAAGTAGAATTCTTCAAGTTGATTTGATATTCTTAACTAGAAAATTTTCAGTGTTTTTGATTTAACAAAAAGTAGTCGATCACTAGTTATACAATTACAAATAAAATCCAGATCATAATAAAATAGATGAATCAATATTCGTTGAAAATAATCTTATTTCTAAAGTATTTATTTATTTTTGTTAAGATTAAAAACTGTTCAAGTCTTCTCCTATAGTTATTTCATACATTGAGAACATTCATAAAAAGGAAATAGTTTATAGAAAAAAAAATGCAGATGACTTATGGAGATAGATATCACGTATAGATTAATGTATGATAAAAAGAAGTCTTTTTCAGAATGCGTAAAAAAACAAATTTTTAAATTCAGAAAATGAAACATCTCTAAAAAATGTTCTTCGAATATCATTATTATTACACAACATTATTTTCATTTTTCTTCTATCAGAAACAGAATAAAAAGAAAGATATACGAGTTTAACGATGGTTTTTCTAGTATAGTCAAATATCGTTTTCTACGATACATGGAACATTTAAATTTAGTTTGTCTTTTGGTTTCCGAGAAAACTATAATTTTCTCTAGAAGAGAATGTACCATTTGATTCTTCTTACTCTTCGTTCGAGTTCAGATAATAAAAAAATTTTAGTTATGTTTTCGGTTGCATTTAACTTGAACTAAACCAAGTCACATGCAACTAGACTAAACATGATTTAAATGTGAACAAGTCGATAGACTCATCTATTTGGAATAAGCAGTAAATGAATTAGAATACATGAAATCATTTTTATTTGAAAAAGCTTACAAAAAATATCTAGATTTTGTTAGAAATCCAAAAATAGAGCCGGTGCTTTGATTTCGAGCTTGCGCAATGGATTGAATGAAATCTTTTTTAGTTTTTACATTCTGAAATCTCTGTTATCAACATTGAGATTCTATGATTGTCGAATAATAATGCCTCGTATGATTGACGTGTTGAATAAACTAATAATATTTTTTTTATAACAAATGCAAAGAAGAAAAAATTAACAAAGAAAATCTTTTGTAGATTTTCAGTTAATACTATGCAAGTAGAAATTGAATTAAGAATCAATTAGTTTTTCAAGATATTCTCTAACTGTGGTTATACTTTGAATTATTTGTTTTCTTAATTAATTTAAATTCAAAGTTACAGCTGGATTATATTTATTTATTATTTATTATTTTGTTTTGCTTATTTCTAGTGGCTAAATTACTGAACAAGCATAAGAGTCGACATTGATTACAATCGAACAGTGAAAATTATGATGAAGATCAATCGAGATTTACTTGCATTTCCAATGCCACAATGGCACTTAAACAACTGGCAATTAATAAAATTACCTTTATTTTGGGCTGTTGCCATTTATGCAACTCGAATGTTAAATCGTCAATTAGAAAAAAAACTTGAAGGTGTACCAAAAATATATCCAGTTGAAGCAATCGCCATTAATTTCGGACGTTGGGAAACAGCCGGTTCTTATGACCGGCACCTTATAGATTGCCATGCACATGCTCATCTATTATTAACAACTCAATTCATTAATTCATGTGATGATACATTTTATCGACCATTAAAAGGTCGAGTTGTCTAACCCCGAAATTATTTTCGTCAAAATTCACAGTTACTACATAATGATCGACTTCATAATCATGAATTTAATTTGAAAGAAATGGACGAATTTTCAAAAAGACTGAGTAGTGTAGAAAAAAAGCAAAATGAAATGCATAAAGATCTAGAAGACGTCAAAAAAGATTTACACAAAGTGACAACAACTGTACAAACTGTGCAAAAAACTGCTGATAAAATTCTTGAAATGCTGAAAGATCATTTTATTGTATAGATGAAACAAATAATGATTTTGATTTTGATGAGATTTCTATTATATGAACATGAAATAAAATAATTTCGGAAAATTTAGAACTTACATGACACGTTGACAATGGATTATTGATCAAAAGCAATGAAATAAACAGAAAAAAAACAAAAGTCTATTCAGATGAATTTATTTGTTTCGAACTGTAGAAAAACATATATCGCTATGTAGATAGTTTTCGAATATAAAATAAATATTTCTTTTCCATAGTAAGAAAACATCGAGAAAGAAAAAAATGTATGAAAAATTTTTTGTTCAATTAAAATCCATAAATGAAACATCAGAAAATATCCTATTTAATATTTGTTTATTTGAAGTTTACTAGAAAATTAGAATAGTATTTGAAAACCCTCAAGAAAAATTTTGGCATTTTTTGATAGATTAAATAAATTTATATTAGAAACTCAGGTTAACTCGTATAGGTTTTTGTTATTGATTTAATAATTAAATTTAAAAATTTCTTTTTTTCTTGAATATAACCTCTATTGAATTGTTGATGAAATTATATGGAATAAATATAAGAATTCTCTTGAGTATAAAAATATTCAAATTTATTTCAACCATTTTGAATTGAACAACAAATAATTATTGATTTTGTTGTTTTATGAGCCACTCCACGTAAGCCAGAGGGTGTGGGTGTATGGCTGTGGGTGGACTTAGGTGTCTCGCGCGGGTTTACATATTTTCATAACATCCACACGCACTCACACCCTAAGACTAATCGAAGGACTGGATGTTTTCGGAAAAAGTTGAAAAAAATAAAGATTTTGAAAGTTGTGTGTAGTGCTGTTTTTAAATCGTGGTGATGTTGGAGGCGAAAGAAATAAGTATTTTTGCAACGAAATATGCTAGTTGTGCAGAAGTAGACGATGAATCTTTTGATAAAAAAATAAAGTGTGAGCGATAAGATAATATTTAAGATGGTAACAAAATACTAAGACCCTCTTGTATCATGCGTTACCCGTTAGTTTTATATTTTTGTTTCAGTATAATAATCACTTTCATTATACACTCTAAAAATAGGTCTTTTTAGTGAACCCCCAAAAAAGGTTCCGTAGATCTGAAAAAGCTTGAAAATGCATTCAAATGCTCAAAATACGATTTTTGAGTTCCAGGAAAACTTTAAAGGTTCTTCCCGTGTATCCAGGCGAAAAGCCTTTGAAGGTTTCGTAGAGCTAAAAAAACGTTTTTGAGCATTAGAATACATTTGCAAGCTTTTTCAAATCTACAGAACCTTTTCGGAGGTTCGGTAAAAAAACTTTTTTTTAGAGTGTATGGTATCACAGAACGCAACTAATTTAAAAATAGACAGAATCATTGAACACGTTTCCTTTTCAAAGAGTATTCTTCATCTGAGTTAAGAGTATTTGATAAATCGTTTTTTACCTAACGGATATTTATCCATTACAGGGTGTGGGTGTGGATATCTTCTCATCACACACCCACACCCACACCCGACGGGCTCTAGTGGCGGGGGATGAGGTTTACTGATTTTTGCTTAGAGAATATGCAGTACCACTGCCTATTTTATCAGTGACCGTCATGAGTAGACATGTACCAAATCCAGATCCAAACTATTTAGGAGTTTGTGTTTGAGTTGGTTATCAAAATTTTATTGACGACTCTTATTTCATTTTCATCTGAGTTACATACCCATTTAGAGTCCCCAAGTCTTTTTCTTTTTGAAGGTGCATTCTGAACAAATTATTTTTCATACACAAATAACAATTAAAAAAAGACTCAAAATCAAACCCAAATTCTTGGTGAGTTCGGGTACTAAGCCTAAGCCCAAATCCAAGCTTATTATAGCAAACTCAAACCCAAACAGTTTGGATTTGGTGCATGTCTAGTCATGAGTGTGGTCTTCATAACTTTTTTTGTTATATGGTTAATCGAGCTAATATTTTAAATTTAGTAATTTTCCATTGTGAGCTATCGTTCCATTAATAAAATAAGGGCACAAAAAAATTGCGACTACAGGCCCCTAAGGCTTTGCTTGACTTAGTTATGAACCCGTTCTTAAATGTTCTAAAAACATATAAGCGTAAGTACGTCTTCGAAACGTTCTAAAATAGAGGATAGCAGTAGATCAATATCTGGAACATCTACGTTAACCGATACACATAAGATCACTTTAAAACAAAGAGTTTATGAGTTCGTGACGGGGCAGAAACCCTTTTTCCGTGTTCGAAATAAATGAAAAACATTTATTGCTAATCTTAAACGCAAAAAAAACTATTTATCATCTCCCTTATGTGCGGAAAAATGGATTTGTGTTCCGTTGCGAATTCGTAATTGTTTTTGAGTTTATTATAGGTTCACAACCAGTTTTTCGGTTTATTATTCTCCTGATCTCTTACAGTGACGTTTACACCGACGACAGCGGGTAGTAATACTACAGAGCGTATTACTTTGATGCTCAGCGACAATGAGCACTACAGGACAACATGAAAATTCGAATGCTTTCCATACGCAGACAGAAAATTATAGGGATGATCTACAAAACGATTGGAGCTTCTATGGGAAATCTACTAAAGTAAATACAAACACCCCTATATTGAATATGTGAAAGTCGTCGATGTTCTCACTTTTCCCAATTACAGTGCTCGATAATTCTTTTTCCTTGTTTCAGGTCACAAAAGTTATCGAGGTGATTCGTGTTCGATGTTACAGAAGAACATGTTTCAGAAGAATCGCTGGCTTATTTTCTTTATTGGCTGCTTTTGGAACCTTTAGCTGCGTTTGCGCCTTAGTGTTCGCTTCTCATCACTGGGAAGATCATTTGGCGGTTCAAAAGGTTTTTCGAGTTATAGGAGTGCTTTCTCACTATGCTATTGTGCCAGTGGTAACGTACATCACAATGGCAATCTTCTGTGGTACAACGCCGGCATCACATCGGGGTGTATTTCGCTCCATGCATAAAGAGTGGTGTCAAAGCAATCTTCCAGAAAATCAGTCAGCAATTTTCGATGAATTATGTTCGTGCTTCAATTCAGGGGAAGAAAGTAATGCCTCTAGTTTGCCATTAGTTAATAATAATCTGCAAGATGGACTCTCTACTTCTGAATGCGATGCAACAATAACGAAACGTAATTTTCTTAATTTGGTACATGGACTCTTACTACTACTGATTATCGGTATATTTCTCCGTCTTTACCTCAAAAATTTAACGTGTAATCTTTTCATTGATTCTCTGTCTTGCCTTGTTTTTAGTTCGCACAGTGTTGGTATGTGTAATAAATGGTCTGAATTTCCAATATTCGCACAACCGAACAGATTATTCTGAAGAGGATATGAAATTGTTGAGGGCTACTTTCGGATTTCAAATAGCTTCTCATATATCTATACTTTTTGTCTCTATTCCGACTTGTCTTTTTGTCGTGAGAGATTATTTAGATCGAATTTATGAAGGTGCCCATCTTGAACATCTTTTTAAGCGAAAGCCGAATTGGAAAAACCAAGTAATTATCAAATTATCAGACCTCAATAATTGGGTGAAATTTGCTAAAGGCAACGAAACGCGTTATCGTGGGCCAGCAAATGTATATTCATTTGTTCATATTATGGATGTCGCCGTATATTCTATATCATATGCTATTTATATGTATCATGAAAACAAACAATTCAAAGTGCTTCGCTGGTGCCACATTGGAAGTCTAATAACTTTCGCTTTCCTCTTACTACTGATTATGGTGATAACGAATCAACAGGGAGCTCGACTTAAACTGTTAACTGAACGTGTTTACTCTCAAAATGATTATAATGACAATGCCGGTGAACTTGATCGCCCGGCATCAGATGATAACAAACTACGACCACTATCTGACACGGGAGAGTGGAAACAGCTCATCGATGATTATACTTCGTATGCTATATTCCTCTACTTCAAGGCAAATCCACTCCTTCTTCTATTATGGATTATAGAAATTATATTAGCATGGACCTTACCGCTAATTAAAACTTTAATTCCTTGGATTGATATAAAACCTAACGTTACTATTTCTTATTATGATATGTTTTAAATACTTGTATAGAACAAAAATGCATGACTATAGAGATGCACTATTTAATCAAAAATACATTTTTCATACTATATTCATAAAAAAACAGGCGAAAACCGACTAACCTATCTTTTGAAGAAAAGACAAAATTCAATCTGCTAATGTTGAGGGTGAGAGCAGCTGCCATGATTTATATTTCATTGTCGGCTAAGATAACCCACCAAATGGCAAAAAATATGTATGATGAATAGATCACACGACTACGCAGGAGATTCAAAACGACCGGCAGGGTGTGGGTGTCGCCCACACACCCTGAAAATAGCAGAATAAGCCATCACATTCTTCACAACCATCCTAATATTAGGAAGTTTATGGAATTTATGAAAGCAAAAGAGAAAAGACGACAATCAGTTAATATTCAATGGTCTGCTGGTGCATAAAATAACAAACTAAATCTACGAATGACTTTCATACAAGCTTGCATAAATACTTTTTATGATAGATATAATAATGATGTTATTAGCTTTTCAGATCTACTTATTGATTTGTCATAAGTTGTTCTATCAAAAAAGAAATAGATAGAACACACGTGTATCGCTTAAGTATAGTTGTTCATTGAGGTTACTTGCGTTGTTTTATTCATATCCTCATTGTAAATTCTTTAAATAAATAAAACATTTTTTCAATTACATAAACATGGGATTTTTACCTCATAAACAACAGTATAATTTGTATTTTTTTCGACATTTGAATACATTGACATTTCTATCTATCGACATATTTATTTTCAACCATGCTAGGATTTCCCGAAACGGACGCGAGTGCGAACTGTACGTGCAAGCATTGCTTTTTCTCGAAAAATAAATTTGTATTTTTCGCTCGATATAATTGTAACTCTATACACTTGATTTTAATGTAATTACTTTAGGCAGGACTCAGAGTTTGTCCTGCAACGTTTTGTCTTTCGTTTAATTATGGATACCTTTGTGTGTTCTGCTGGCTCTAATGTATATAGAACTGAGAGCATAAACAATGTGATTAATGTTATGCAATAGAAGAAGGAAATATATGACATTTGTTGGACTCAATCTACACATATTCAATTATCTCAGCAATTGCAGTGAGTCAGTAATACTTGAAGAACGATTTTACCGCAGCTTAGCGATGGGAATGCATCATCATCAATGATAGCATAGGTAAGTTCTTGCCTTCTTTGACTATGAAAAAAGATGTGCGCATGCGACTGTATATTTGTGTAGCGTTACACACAGGTAGGAGTACGCGTGCCCGATGAACCGAAACGACATATTTACTTGCTCGGATTCACTTTATGTCACTGCTCCAACTATTCTCTTCCTGAGAATATTTTCATCGTCAATAAATACACCAAAACACGCACACATACCCTACTATTGCTCTAACATTGTGTCCTTTTTGGAAGAAAAAACGCAAGTAAGATTTGAGGGTGTGGGTGTTAAACCTCAATGAACCTGCACTCACCTCCACACCCACCCACACCCATTATAAAATCGGCTACATGGGTAATGCACAATAATTTTTAGTCGAAGTTGGAAGAAACCAAGTATGTGAAGTGTGCGTTATATTGTTGACTGAAGAAACAACTNGATGCATCAAATGAAACACGGTAGAAGAAATTTAATTTTTCGGCGAAATACTGTTCACCTGACGGTGAAGCAACAAAGGTAAATATAACGCGGTTTGAGTGCGAGCAAGTCAGAATCAAAGAGAATAATGTTTTTTTTATTGCTTTTTACCTTTGTCAGGTAGTGAAATGAAGAAAAGAACAGCAACTTTTTGAAAAAAACGACGAAATAGTTGAGGTAAGAGAAAGGCTTTTTCTCGCACGTGGTTGGTACAAATAAAAAAAAGAGTCTAATAAAAAGGCGAGATTATTCGAATTGCAAACGCAAAATGAATACACATACGCATACAGAGATACATATTTTTTAAACATAATCAAACATGGCCAGCTCAATGAATCCAACTAGCAGCAATG